AACGATAAACTCAGCTTCAGCAGAGGAGAGAGTAATCAGCTCCTGCTTGGTCGAATTCCAAGAAATAGGCCCGATAGGTTCAAGGCGGTAGATAAATCCAGTACGCGAGGCGATTAGTATAGTCAGCATCGTGATCGGCGTCGACGAAACCGTGTAGTATAGTGTTTTACAACCGATGACGTTGTAGACTAAACCGACGTAGGAGTCGATATAAATACTGAAGCGCGCGGAGAAGATCGAGTTGGTGTTCCTCTTCGGACGGCGTAGGAACTGAGCGAGTTGACTAGCAGCGTAGGCTAGATCTGGACGACAAGTAACGGCGGCGAAGAGTAAACAGCCTAACTGCTGTTGATAAACTGTAAATCGGTTAGACTCAACGGTGTAGTATTCGGTTTTGATCTGTCGGTAGTGATCGGTACGGTGTAGTGACTGCAGTAGGAGTAAGGTTGAAGCGGGCAGCGAGTGGCTGCGTACTTCGAAGCGGTGAGGTGAATAGACGTCGGTGAGCAGGTAATTTTCAAACCGAGAAACTGTGAGACTGTTTCGGAGACGGTAAGCTGTAGATTTTTCTGTAGTTTCAGTATGAAGGTATTGGCGAGCGAGTCGGTAGTACTGACGTAGAGAATATCGTCGACGTAGGCGACAAGTAAAATATAGTTGCTGCCGTCAGTTAGAAGATACATCCCCTGATCATGCGGTAGTTGACGAAATCCAGCAGTGATGAGTGAAGATACTGCTGCCAGAGCCGGGGTGCCTGTTTAATGCCGTAAAGCGACTTTCTGAGACGGCATACGCTCGGTGGGTTAGTAGTATACGAGTATGGGTACTCTACCAGAATGAGTGTGTCGATGGGTGCGTAGAGAAATGCGTTTGCCACGTCGATTTGTCGAAGTCGTAGATTGCGGCAGGCGGCGACACAGAGTAGAATCGACATGTGACCGACGGGAGCAAAAGTCAGCTCGTAGTCGATGCCGTAAGTCTGCTCGAACCCGCGGACGACCCATCGCGCCTTGAATTTCTCAAACGACCCATCTGCATTAGTCTTGACACGGAAGACCCACTTTCCGGTAAGTACCTTTCTCCCTTTTACTTCTGATGTCGGTATTAACTCCCATGTGCCGCGACTCTTGAGAGCTGCTAGCTCTCTGTCCATGGCTTCGCCCCATTTTTCTCGGTGAGGACTCGTAAGAGCTTGTCGAACGGTTTTCGGTTCGGATATCTTACTGTCGTTGTACTGTACTGCGACTGCGAATCCAAGTATCTGTAAGCCGGTTTCTGTAAAACGCGGACGTTCTTCGTTTGCACCTGCGAAATTTTCTTCTGCTCCTTCTTCCCCCCCAATTTCGTCAGGTGTAACACGAACTGCTTCGTCGGAGACGACGGGCATCGGCTGCTGTTGCGATCGCGTTCGTAACTGAGGTGACTTCGCGAACGTCATCCGGGTCAGCATCTGCGAGAGGAATAAATTCCGGGATGCCAGTCGACGTGACAGGTTCGGGAATATCTGTTGCGGCAGCTTCGGAGGCTTCAGAAACTGCTTCGTCCTGTACATCAGCTTCGGCTTCGTCAGTTGCAAATGCACGCGAGCCTTCGAACAGCCTGGCGGGGTTGGCAGCTGCTGCCTGGTGGGCACGAAAAACTGGCAAGGTGAGTCTTTCATAGAAGAGACAATCACGTGAAGGGACGATTTGGTTTGAACGAAGATCCAAAATCTTCCATGCGTGATACTGTTTTTCGATGCCGAGGTGTACACCCCATTTTGCCCGTTCTGAAAATTTCCGAGTGCTGCAGTTGGAGGACGAAACTGCAACACACCCAAAAACTCGTAAAAGTTTGGTACTTCCCACTTTCGTGTCCACTGCAGGTGCGGAGAAGAAAACTCGGGCAGTGACGTGGAAGAAGCAGGTTGTGTAACAGCACGGCGTGGTCCATCGCATACGGCCAAAAGCGAGGAGGAAGGGCTGCCTGTCAGCAGAGCACGCATCTTCTCCTGCAGAGTTCGATTCATCCTTTCTGCTACCCCCATCTGTTGGTGTGCATGCGGCAGTGACTGCTTCCGTTTGATGCCGAGGTTGGAGGTAGTCTGTGAAGGTGTTGCTCGTGTATTCCCTGCGCACCATCACTCTGGAATTCTTGCAGTTTCACGCCGGACTCTCGTTCAGCGACAGCGAGCCATACGACGAAGACGGAATGAGCGAGATAACGAGCATGAAGGTTTGCTGTCCAAACGTAGCGAGTAGATGCTTCGATGAAGGTTATCACCGTACAGCTCTTATTTAGGTCCTGCTTCAGGGTAAGTTAAGAATATCGCTGTAGACTTTCTACATTAGTTTATAACGAGTGGAGCAGGAAAATGACTCGGAAACGGGTCGTGGGTAAGATTGGCGACCGGACACGTGATGCAAACCATCGGGCGAGACTGCGGCTTCATCTCCGTGCCGTCAGGTAAAAGAAGACTGTTTTTATCAAGAACTGCTGCTTGGATTGAATGATTTAAAATCCCTTGCGACGGATGTCCTCGCTGATGCCAAATTTCCTCTGTGGCTTTGTGTCCTGATGAGCGCAGATAAAAATCGGCGCTAGTATAAAATGAAGAAATGATAAAAGGAGAAAGAGCTGGCGACATGTTACTCTCCCCTTCGACCAAAACGGGTAAGCGGTAGCTGAACATTTGAAGCTTCTGCTGTAGTTGTGATTGCAACCTCTGATGTTGCTTCTGTTGATGTGTGAGCAGACGGGCCTGCAACGGCTACTGGAAGACTCGGCCTGCTCGGTGACTTCTGCTTTCACTGTTTCTTCGACGACTGCGGGCTCATCAGCGGCAAGTCCGCTAATTTCGCCCCAAAGTGGAGCTAGAGTTCCTTGGAAGGCCGAGCGGGTTTTATAAAACGTTCGCCACGCGTTGGCGCCTTCATCGGCGGTATTGAACTCCCAAGTATCCAGTGCGGTAAGAACGGCTGCTGCAGTTCGAGAAGCTGTTGGTACGGTAGTTGCTCGAAAATCAATATCCACGTGTTGATAATCTGTTTCTTCTGGGTGATCCCAGGGACCAAGTGCAAGGACACGTTCAGAATCACCAGAGGTGCCTTGTGCCATGAACTGAAGAACTGATACTCCATGTTGAGTAGCAGCACGACAGAGGTAGGTATTTGTTAAGCTGTGCCATAACTCTTGATCCATTGTATCACAGTTTCCCTTGTGTGCGAATCTTGTGTGCCAGGAGTTGAGCTGTGGAGAGAAGATTGAAGCCAAGTCCGGCAACGATAAGAATGTTGGTAACGTGTAAGGAATATCCTGTGTCGACTGATTCGAGCATTACAGTCCCAACAGATCTTGCCATAATGGTTTGTTCGTTTACGACTGTGACAGGTATCGGACGACGAAGTGGACGCTGGTTGGTGATGAAGCTTGTTTCAGCAGAGCACATATGCCAACCACAACAGCTGTCGAGATACCAAGTATTGGGTCCTGAAATGACTCGAGCAAGGTTAGCATAAAACTTGCGGTAAGGGAATGCCTTCAGCACTTGTGGTTTCTTCAAGTTGTGTCTCGAAATCAGTTTCTGAAACATCAACTGTTGTAACACATCCGAAAACCCCTTTTCCTTATGTTGCATATGCAAAAACCGGAGGTCGATGCTGTGACGACGGTGTATTCTGCGGTGGTTTCGGCATCTGCTATGCCGGGGACGTCGACTGCTGCGTTGGTTGATGTGGCTTCGGCAACTGCTACGAACGATGATATGGCTGTGAAGTACTGCGTCGATTTTGATGTCGGCTGCGACAAGTTTGGTAAGTGTGTCCTGGTTTTTTGCAGAAATGACAGAAGGGATATTTCGGGGGAAGTTGTTGCTGTGGTTCTGGATTTGAGTAAAAACTTAAATGTATCCCTTTCTTCTGATTGCGTTGTGACTGCAGGTCAAGATCTTGCTGCTCTGCTTGAAGATACGAAGAAATCTCGGCTTCGGAGAGGTTCAGATTCATGCACAGGAAGGCGCGCGTCTGTCGCCATTCGGGTCCAAGGCCAGCAAGAAGGACCGTGAGATACATCTCACGAGGGAAGTATCCTCCACTCTTCTCCAGTTGATCGCGTAGTGTACGAACACGATTGATGTAATCCATGACATTCTCGTTTGTCATCATCTGCACACTTGTCAGTTGCGAAAGAATCTTACTCACTGTTATTGTATTTTTTTGCCATGTACACACCCTTTAAGTGGTTCCATGCAGTTTCAGGCGTAAAGCTTGAATGAAAAGAACGGACGCCGAGCTGCTCCTTTGGGATAAGTTCCAAACAAGGACCGTATACGCCCCGAGAGAGGCGTGCAAGAAACTCTACTGCTCCAGTTGGGTTCCCGTAACAGGATACGTAAATTCGCCAGTGAAGAACGGCCATAGCCTGGCGGACTGTGCCAGAAGTTCGAATTCGAAGCTCCAGGAGTAAAAACCCACTCCGTTAAAAGGTATGGTGGTCTTGATCTGTGTGCTGTTAAGTAAATTCGGTGGTTGAAAGATAATACCCTGTTGTTGAGGCTGTTACTGTTGTTGAAACTGCTCTGGATGTTGCTGCTGTTGCTGTTGTTGCTGTGGTTGCTGTTGATGCTGCTGTGGTTATTGCTGAGCAGGTGAACGCCCGATGATGTAAAAGGGATGCTGCTGCTGCGACTGTGGCTGCTGCACAAAAGGTGAGAAGGCAAATGAGCCAGAACTTCGAGCTGTAGCTCCACGCATATAACTTGAGCGGTCAAGACTCATTCCACTAAACGCTGACGATATTGACTGAGTTGAAAACTGTGGTTGTGCTGTTGCTTGCTGTTGAGCTGTTGTCTGATGTTGTGCTGTTGCCTGTGTTTGATGTTGTAGCCCTGCAGGGGCAGTTGACGACATCCCTGGAGTACTGACAGAAGGCGGATTCTGCTGCATGCCGATGTGCACATAAGCCGGTGGAAACGGTCCAGAGGCTGAGAGACCAGTGGCAGTCGTGGAGACAGGTACTCCAGTAGTTCCGGAGGTACAGTAGATCCGGTAGATTGCGCTGGTGTTGATCCAGTCATTTTTAATAGTAGTCTTAATTCCAGACAGCTCTCATACCATGTAATAATTTGACAGGTGTTGCAGGAGACTAAGTGTAGAATCTGCAAACACAAACACTTGGAAAACCTCAAGTGTTAGCCTAGGATCTTTATTAGAATGGTAGACTAGTAAGACAGCGGAAGTCTTGTAAGAGTGAACCTGAGTATATAGTTCTGTGGAAGTCAAGTCTCAAAGTTCTCGAAGTTGAAATCTCAATGTTAATAATAAAAGGACACTACAAGGATTTATAGCTCTAGGAAAGTACCTGTTTGCTAATGTACATGTTCGTCACTATCGCGCTATGCGCCCCAGGTGATAACGAAGAGATGCGACTGTTCGAGTGACTGAAACGACTGTCCTCATGACGAGCGTTATTTGCTGACATCATCCTACGGACTTATCTTCTACAGTAGAATTCGACACTATCTATCAATAAACGACTTACATAAATGCTAAGTATGAATTATACCACAACACATGCGAGGCCTGGAGCCCATGAGGTCCCCGATCAGAGTGACCACCTGCTGCACCACCGGCGTGCACGGCAGCGCTGCCTGCCCTGGCGCTGCCGGCTGTGGCAGCAGCGGGCGGCAGGTGCAGCTGAAACTCAGAGCCCCGCGTCGGGATGACTGGGAGGGTGGGGGGGGGGGGGTATGGGGCAGCAATAAGGAGGAAGGGGGGGGGGGGGGGGTGGGGGGCAATGGAGCACGAGGAAGGAGCATAGAGTGATATAGGACTGGATGTTGTGGTGCTGTGCATGGCAGATTTAGGGCGCCGCATGGTATGGCATCACGTGGCATGGTATATTCACCTTTCAGCCGGTCATCCGTGGTGACCAGGTGGAATGCTGACGTGGACTCAGCTAGCACCATGCCGCCCAACCCCACATGGCCAGGGGAGGCAGCTCGAGTCACTGGGTGGGCGGGAGGAGGGAGAAAGAGAGAGAGGTCAGAGGGGAATGGGGAGCACTAGAACACGGGGGCGATACACAAGTGGAGGTTGCACTGTGAATAGGTGACTCAACGCTCATCGTTCTTGTGGATCCAATAGGCGGTGCTTCCCAGAGACCACAGGGACACTGCCCATGAGTGCCCCTCCCCCTGTGCTCACCTGTGAGCACGGCGCCATGCAGGTCCATGGCGGCCACGCACGCACACATGCGGCAGGGGGCAGGGGCACACAGGGGCAAGCACAGGCGGTGGGGGAAGGAGAAGGAGAGTGGAGGGATGAGGGGGACGGAGACAGGAGGCAGTGGAAACAAGTAGACGGCTACTGGGTTGTGTGAAAACAGCTGACACGGGAGAGTGGCGAGAAGAGAGCAGGCGGAGCAACGAAGGCAGGAGAAGATAGTGTGGCGGGAGAGGGGGAGGCCGGCAAGCAGTGGGCTGGAGAGGGCTGCCCTCCCACACACTCAAAAACGGAGGCTGATGATCTTTAGGCGCAAGCGCCTTCGTAAAGATATCAGCCGTGTTGGCACCTGAGGCCAAGTGTACTATGCGAGCCTGACGTCGCTGCTGTAGCTCACGCAGGAGAAAGTACCGCAGCTGAATGTGCTTCGCTCTGCCCTCAAGTCGAGGCTCCTGGCACAGGAGGATCATGGCCCTGTTGTCAGCGAACAGGAACAGGGCAGAGCTAGGCCGCTCACCTAAGTCATGTGAGCAAGAAGGTCAGCCAGCGGAGCTCCTGTGCCGCCATGGCACCAGCGTAGATCTCAGCCTCACAGCTGGACTGCGCAACAGACGAGGAGCGAGTAGCTCTCCACGAGACGGCAGCTGAGCCAAGGCTGAAGCAGTAGCCCTGGGTAGACCTGAGTGTCTCGGCGTCGTCTGCCCACGAAGCGTCTGTGTGTCCAGTAAGGACCACTGGCCTGCGTCCTCCTAGCACTAACCCCATGCCCGATGTACTAGCAAGATAACGCAGAACCCTCTTAGCGGTAGACCAGTGCTGCGGTCGGTGTCTGCCTGTGGCCACAAAACGAGCCAGGATGCTGAGAGGGTATGCGAGATCTGGGCGAGTGCAAGTCATCAGGTACATGAGGCAACCCACCAGCTCTGCGTAGGGGCCACTGGGCTCTACCAACTCCTCAGACACTGGAGCGGAGAGTCTGTGGTCTACAGGCAGGGGGGTGGGCTGTGCAGAGGAGAACTGAAGGCTGAACCTCTGAAGGACCTGGCGCACCAAGTGTGACTGAGTCAGGGTGATGGTGCGCGAAGCTCTGTCCGGGAGATCTGCAAGCCAAGGTAGCGGCGCAGTTCTCCAAGGTCAGTGCACGTGTGTCTCTTCAGCAGCTCTGCCTTCACGGAGGCCAGTGCGTCCCTGTCTGCTGTGGCAAAGACCAGGTCGTCGACGTAAACAAGGATGTAGAACGGAGTCTGGCCAGCACGAACGAAGATTGAAGGGTCTGCGGAAGACGGAAAGAACTGCAGGTCAGCAAGCGTAGCACGGAGAGTGTCGTGCCACTCACGGGGAGCCTGGCGCAGGCCGTAGACGGGGCGCCGGAGGAGCCACTGGGTCCCAGGAGGGAAGGTGCCAGTAAAGCCCTGAGGGCGACGCAAGTAGACCTGCTCGTGTAGGCTGCCCTGAAGGAAGGCAGTGGAGAAGTCGAGGGAGTGGAGCTCGTAGTCACGCTGAGCAGCTTATGTGTAACAGAACCCGAAGAGTAGTCAGCAGCAGCAGCAGCAGCAGCAACAACAGCAACAGCCCAGAGTGCTTCCGTGCCCACCACCAAGGATCGCAGCAGCGAGGGCGGTACTGGGCGGGGCGGCGGCATGGCTAAGCGCAAGCGCAGGTACTCGGCGGAGGAGGAGGGGAAGCGGCTGCTGAACCAGTGCAGCAAGCACCGCGACCTCAAGACCGCGCTCTCGCTCTTCGACGCGCACGTGGCGGGCACGGGCCCCGCGTTCAAGACGTACGAGTACAACATCCTGCTTTACCTCTGCTCGCTCGTCGCCATCACGGGGGAGGTGGGCATGGTGCAGGGGGGGGAGAATGGGGCAGGGTCAGGCGGGGAAGACAGCAGCGCGGCAGACAGAGGGGGCGAAGCAGCGGGGGAGCAGTGGAGTCGGGAGGAGGCGAGGCGCGTGGCGGCGGCGCGCAGCATGGAGGTGTACGCCGACATGCCAGCGCCGCGCCGTGCCGCTCAACAAAGCCACCTTCACCGCGCTCGCGCGGCCTGGCGTCGGCGCGGGGCGACGCGCGCATGGCGTTCCGCGTGGTGGAGGACATGGTGGCGCACCGCGCCACCGCTCGTACGACCCCGCGCTGCTCGCCTTCTGCCGCCAGGGCGACCTGCCCCGCGCCGAGGAGGTCTTCCAACACATGGCTGCAGGGGGGCTTGCCGCGCTGCCCGAACAGGTTGCTGCGCTGCTGGACGTGAGCGTGCGGGCGGGCAGCCCGGGCAGCGTGTACAAAAACATTCACCGCATGCGGAAAGTTGCGCGTGGGCTGCCCGAGGACGTGATAGGGTCGTTGAGAGCTTGGTTTGAGTCCGCCAGTGCGAGACAGGGAGGGGGGGATGGTGAGGGGGAGACGAGAGCAGAGGAGGCAGGAGAATCAGGCAGCTGTGAGGGGGAGACAGAGGTGAAGGGGGAGGGGGCGGAGGCAGGGCGGAAGACATGGAGCTGGGAGGAGGCGGAGAGGGCGATGAGAGTGAACGGGGGGGGATGGCACGGGCCGGGCTGGACCATGGATAGCCACAACGCAGGGGCCGCAGGGGGCAAGGGCGGCGAGTGGCAGGTGCAGGACGTGCTTGTGGACGAGGTGGGCGTGTGCAGCGGGTGCGGCGGGCAGCTGGCGACCATAGACCTGGACGACGAGGAGACGGAGCGCTTTGCCCGCGCCGTGGCACGCTGGTGGCGGTGCGGGGCAAGACGCGCTGGTGGCGGCGCGGGGCAAGGCGCGCGAGCTGGCGGTGTTCAAGGCATGGCTGGTAAAGCACGGGCCGTTCAGCGCCGTGGTGGACGCGGCGAACGTGGGACTGTACCACCAGAACCTCGCGCAGGGCGGGTTCAACTTCTGGCAGCTCCACTCCGTCGCCAAGGCCGTGGCCGCCCTCGCACCCGCCGCCCCAGGCTCGGCCATGCCTTCAGAGGCGTCCTCAGACTCCCCCTCCGCCTCCCCGCGCCTGCCGCTGCTGGTGGTGCACCACAAGCGCGTGAAGGGTGGGCCGGCGGCGCAGCCGTTTGCGCAGCAGTGCCTGGCACAGTACGAGCAGCAGCACTGCCTCTACACCACCCCCACCGGCGCCAACGACGACTGGTACGCTGCACTGCTGCCACATGCGGTGCCGTGCTGCTGTGCAAAGCGCTACTCCCCTTGCTCTCATGCCCTGGCAGCTGCTCCAGCGCTGCCTCATCCTGACCCACCCTCACCTGCATCACGCCTTGGTCTTCTTCCCCCCCCCCCCCCTCCTCCCATGGCATGGCAGGTACTGGCTGTATGCGGCAATTGAGATGCAGTGTCTGCTGGTGACTAACGACGAGATGCGCGACCACATCTTCCAGACGCTGGGCGCCGACTACTTCAACAGATGGATGGGGCACCAGGTGAGGGGGTGGTGTGTGGGTTGCCAAGGCACCACACCTACCATGTGTGCACCATGCCTCCGACTGTCACTGCATTTTGCCTCCTACCAACTGTTCCCAATTCGTTCTTTGCATCCGGTCTCGCTTGTGACGTGCTTTGTGTGGCATGGCATGGCATGGCATGGCATGGCATGGCAGGTTCGCTTCACCATGACGCCTCAAGGCCCTGCGCATGCCGCCCAACTTCTCCTTTGTCATCCAGGTCAGCGCTGCCCCTTGCTCATCCAGGTCAGCGCTGCCCCTTGCTCATCCAGCTAGGCGCAGCCCCTCATCCCGTGTCTTTTCCACCCATTATCATGTTCTGTGCCGCATCACTGCCCCACAAGCATGTGCGGCCCCTCCCCACTCACCCCGTCTCTCGCGCCTCTTTCTCCCTCGCCCTTCTCTCATCCACGCCCTGCCCCCTCCCCAGGAGTCAAGCGAGGGCGGCTGGCACTTCCCCAAGGCGCAGACTGCAGGGGGGCAGGGCACCGAGGGCGGGGAGAATCAGGGAGCAGGGGAGGGGGAAGTGGAGATGCAGGGAGAAGCGGAAGGAGAGAGACAAGGGATGCAAGGGGGTGAGGGGGAGGGGGGTAGCGGAGAGGGTGGAGGGGGCGTGTTTGATGAGTGGCTGTGTGTGCAGTGGAAGAAACAGTGAGGGGAGGGGGGAGGGGGAGTAGAGGATGTGCCAGCGCCGGACTGGAGACGTCATCAACGTGGAGCAGAGCTGTAGAATCCGTGCTGCCCTGCCCGGTGCTTGGATGGAATCATCTTGTGTTCGTCTGCCATGCAGTTCAATATGTATGTAAAAACGTTAGGCATTAGACTCTAGTATTTCCTAGCATGTAACCCTTGATCTCTAATGCAGCAGTCAACAGGCAACCTTTCCTAACAATGGCTGCCAGTGAGCTAATGCCCAGTGGCCTGATGCCTGAACCAGCACCGTCAACTTGGTACCCCTCACTGGCGGCCCAGCTTGCGTCCGCCGCGCCCCACCATCCTCTTCACCGTCGATATCACCGCACAGCCCTGTGAGAGACAATGGGGGGTGGGGCATCGTGGCAGGGTGGCCAGGAGCCAAGGGGGTCAGTAAGTGGAGGGGCATGTCCTGTTTGGTGTGGCATGCACTGCATGGTGGTACGGTGGTACGGTGATACGGTGGTACGGTGGTACAGTGGTACGGTGGTACGGTGGCACGGACAGAAGAGGAGCGCCAGCATGCGAGCAACGGCACCCGTGGTGCGTGTCTCACCAGCGCGGTGATGTTGTTGCCCACCCACAGCGCCACGTCCACTGCCTTCTTCACATTCTCGTTCTCAATCCTCTCGGGGTGGTAGCTGCCCGCGCATGCCGTGCACCCACGCATGCCATGCACCCGCGCATGCCGTGCACCCGCGCATGCCATGCACCCGCGCATGCCGTGCACCCGGCCACAGGGATTGGGAAAGGGAAGGGTTTGGGAGATGGAGAGAGAGTGAGACGAATAGGAGGCAGGCACAGGGCGCTGGCAGGAGGCAGCCCTCAGGACAGCCCCATATGGCTCCTCGCTGGGAGGAGCAGAGGGGGGCGGGCACTACGGCAGCTTCCCAGCACGGCAGGCGAGCATGCACGGCAGGCGAGCATACACGCGCAGTCCTCAGCGCTGCCCGCCGGTTGTTCCCCAACTCCCCATCCCTGCTTGAGCCATCCCCTCCCCTCGCGCTGCCTGGTCCGTGTCATCACCTGATCCATCCGGCTCGCTTGGCGGTGGACGCGAGGGTGATGGTGAGCGCCGTCTGAATCACGAGCGCGTCGCCCACTCCCATGCCTGCCGCCACGCCTACCACGCCCGCCAGGACAACCGCGCGCGCGCTGGTGGCGATGCGGACGACTCGCGCACGGGCAAGTGAACACACAGAACAGGACCATCTGTTGGGGGTTCGCTTCGGTTAGGTGCGGGTGATGCTTGACATGTCATGGATGGATGTGTCATCTGAAAGCAACACAGTAACAAGGACAATACGCATCACCATTTACTGCTACATCTCTGTGCTAAATAAAGCGGGTAAGGCCTTTACAAGAGGCTAATAGAAGTTTGATGCAATACCTATATGTACACCTATATGTTCGGAAATCTCGCCCTCCAAACGCACTAAATACTTAATGAAAATCACTCAGTGGCTCCCCTAGGAGTCACCATTAGTGAGCTGTCGTGTGTCCTCCACATCCGCATCCACATCCGCGTCATCATCCCCATGCAGGTCGCCCATCTCCCGCTCCATCTGCACCTCGGCCTCCACCAGCCGTTCATACATCTGCCGCAATCGACGGCTGCGCAACCACGTCATGAGGGACAGCGAGCCAAAGCACACGATACAGAGGCCGAGGGCCACGAAGAGCGCCGCCCACATGGGGGAGAGGGCCTCTGACGCCACGTACAGCAGGCGCTGCTCACACGGCCCCACCAGCTCTGCTGCGGGCAGAGAGGCAGCCCCCGGCAGCGTGGCGCTGCAGTGGTGCGGCTGGCGCCACGCGAACGTGACGTTGTGGCGCCCGTCGGCGTCGGCACAGTCGCCCACTGTGCGGATGATTTCTCCCTGCTGGCACGGCTCACAGGGCTCGTCCGGTGGAAGAGGGTGCGACGGGTTCAGCTGACACAGCTGCGGTGGGGGTGCAGCAAGCCCAAGGGAAGAGAGGGGAGTGGGGGAACATAACATGTGCATTATCTGGACGCTGGAGAAATTGGGAGGACGACGCGGTAAAGAATAGCATTGAGGTGCAACGTACTGTGGGTGTTTTCCACTTGAAGGTGGCCCTCTTGTCGTCCATGCAGGCAGCAGCCTCCACACGCTTGTAGTCGTCCTCCGTGCACAGCGGGCACGCAAACAGCGAGTACCACACCACGCCGAACGAGCAGTCGCTCTGCTCGATGGGCTGCACCGCGCCCTCCCGCGATACGTAGTGCGGGTAGGCCAGTGCTGGGTTCAACGCTGCCTCCTGCCCCTCTGCCGTCCACGCCTCTGGCTGCCCGTGGCCTGGTGAGGGGAGGGGGGGGGGGCGGATAGTAGATGGTGGACGGTTCGGGTGTGGCCCATGGAAGGACTCAGAATGCTGTGGAGGCAAGGTGTGCGGCACCAATCCCACTAGCTCGCCCTGCCCCAACCACCTCCTGTCCCACCAGCAGCGGGGTCGCATATGAAGGTGACTTTGGTCTCGCGCGGCATGTTGGTCTGCGGGCACTCGTCCCCTGTCAGCGCCATCACCAGCCCCCGCCGGTACAGCGCCGGGTGCACTGCTGCCAGCGACTCCACTGAAACCGCACTGCCCAGGCTGTGGCCCGGGCGCAGCCCGCCCCCTATAGCCTCTTGTGGATCCACCTTGTGGGGGGGTTGGGGTGACGGAATGTGCAGGAGAGGGGAGGTGGGAATGCGTGGATGAGGCAGGGTAGATGTGGTGGGCAGGGACAGGGAGAGTGGTAGGGATGGAGAGCAGGGGTGGAGGGGGGTGTGGTGCTGCAGTGTGGCACAGCACTAGGGGCAGCTCCACGTGCTTTGAAAGCTGCCACGCACTCAGAAAGCTGCCACGCACTTAGATACCTTGCACGCGTATGTGTTGAGCGATTGGCCCGAGTAGTCATAGCAGGTGTCGTTGCTGGTGTCCCGCTTGCACACACTGAAGAAATACTCCGCCTGCTGCCGCCCCGCCCCGCCCCCTTTCCCCTTCTGTGCACCACCCCCTCCCCCCCCTGCCCCTGCGTGCCCCCCAGCAGAAGCAGCAGCAGCAGCAGCAGCAGCATCCAGCACGGGGCCGAACATTCGGCCGGGGTGCATGCGCGACAGAGGGGAGAGGTCGAACACCACAGCTGCCGCCGACTGATTGGCAATCACAGCAGCCATGGTGTCCCCTGTGGCGTCTGTGAACGCACCACTGAAATCATCCGGGGCAATGCGCCCTCCTCCTCCTCCTGCTGCCCCTCCTCGCCCTCTTTCCCCTCCTCCCCCTCCTGGCCCTGCTGGGCTGGGGTGCGCAGCGAGTCCCGGGAGAGCGTGAAGGTGCAGAAGGACTCAGGGCGCGTGGCATCGCCTATGACGCACTCCCGGCTGCCCTCCAGGGACGACGTGCCCAGGCCACACGGCATGCACGCCCACTGCGCTCCCTAGCAGCACGGTGAGGGAGGCACGGGGGGGGGTGGATCAGAGGTGATAGGATGAGGGACAGGGAGAGGTGCATGGGATGGGAATGAGGGGGTATGGTGGAACAACGGCATGTTGTTGTGTCTGGGCAGTGGGTGCACTTCGGATGGCTAGGGGCAGCATGACATGGATGACACGCAGGGTATGGCATGGCTTGCTAGGGTGCGCCTGGCATGGGTCATGGCGTGGCAGGGACGTTACCTCGGGCTGGCTGTTGAAGGTGTTGGGCGGGCACGGCAGGCACGAGGAGTTGCCGCCCTCGCTGGACGTGCCGGGGGGGCACGGCACGTACGAGTCGCCCCCCGCTGCCAGCACCGACCCCTGCGGCACCTCCTCACACCGCGCTGCACCCCCCTCCGCCACGCCCTCTATCTGCACCGTGCCGACGCATGTAGGCAGCCATGCACCCAAAGACGTAATTATGAATGCGCCCGTTGTTATATTTGTGGGGAGACAAACATACAAACATCCTTCAGCCCACATCACAGCGTTACTCTTTATCCAGCAAGGAAAGCATAATGTGCATGCGTGGACACGCCAACACGCCAATAGACCTTCGCCAGCAGCATCACTAGCGCCCTGCCTTCATGTGTGCACTCATACCTTCCACGGCATGCGACGCACCTGGATCTCATAGATGACTGCCGAGTCACGAGTGGTCCTTGCAGCCGCGCCCGTGTCGTGCAGCTTCTGCCACACCCACATCACGGTGTGGTTGCCCGCATCCAGCTCCCACATGCCGCTCATCCGCGCCTCGTCCTCCGCCGCCCCCGGGTGCTCGTACCCCTCGCCCTCCCCTCCGCCCTCCCACTCCACCCGTTGTTGCTGGTGGTGGGGGAACAAGCATTGGGAAGGGTAAGGATGTCATTGCCATTGCCCTTGTCCATGAGGTCATACCTCCACATAGTCCATGAGGTCATACCTCCACATAGCCCATGAGGTCATACCTCCACATAGTTCATGAGGTCATACCTCCACATAGCCCATGAGGTCATACCTCCACATAGCCCATGAGGTCATACCTCCACATAGTCCATGAGGTCATACCTCCACATAGCCCATGAGGTCATACCTCCACATAGTCCATGAGGTCATACCTCCACATAGTCCATGAGGTCATACCTCCACATAGCCAATGAGGTCATACCTCCACATAGTCCATGAGGTCATACCTCCACATAGCCCATGAGGTCATACCTCCACATAGTCCATGAGGTCGTGGTCGATGAAGAAGAAGAAGGCCCTGCCCGGGTCCCCTGGCAGGATGTCCACGGAGTAGTTGAACGTCATGTACCCGCGCACCGCCATGCGCACGTCCAGCGCCAGCCAGATCTGACGCGTGGGGGGGGAGGTTGAGGAGAGGGAGAGGGAGGATATAGGACTGAAATGAGGGCAGTTGAGGAGGGTGAAGGTGAAGCGAGGGCGCGGTGATTCAGGGCAAGCACGGAGAGGTTCAGTGCATTGCACGCATGTCCTTCAGTCCTTGAGTCCTTGAGTCTTTGATTCCTCTCACGGTGGCGGAGGGCCCGTGGCCGCTGCCGGAGTCGAGGTGGTCCTGGAAGGCGCGCCACCCGAACGTGCCGCAGTCGCCGTGGCACCCCGTGGTGAATCCGGGCGGCAGCGCGCCGTTGTGCTGCATGGCGAAGTGCTTGAGGGAGAGGGTCTTCATCGCCACCTGCCCCGCCTCGCACGCCTCGCACTGCGCGTCCAGCATGCCGCCCGCCCCACCCTCGTAGCTCGCCTGCCGTGCTGTGCCCTGCGGTTTGGGGGTGCGGGGGGCTTGATGGTGTCTACGAGAAGGTTCGCAAGTGAGGGATGGGTGGAGCAGTGGGAACAGCAGAGGCACTGTCACAGGGGGGCAGAGGGAGCAAGCAAAGCACTCACAGGGGGGCAGAGGGAGCAAGCAAGGCACTCACAGGGGGGCAGAGGGAGCAAGCAAGGCACTCACAGGGGCCAGAGGGAGCAAGCAAGGCACTCACAGGGGGGCAGAGGGAGCAAGCAAGGCACTCACAGGGGCCAGAGGGAGCAAGCAAGGCACTCACAGGGGGGCAGAGGGAGCAAGCAAGGCACTCACAGGGGGGCAGAGTGTGCAGCGGATTTCCCCTGACTGGGGGTCCGGCTCTGCTTGCTGGCCATCGGGACACGGCTCTGAGGGGCGATGAGGGCACACACACAGAGGGCGATGAGGGCACACACACAGAGGGCGATGAGGGCACACACACAGAGGGCGATGAGGGCACACACACCGATGACAACACAGAGGGCGATGAGGGCACACACACAGAGGGCGATGAGGGCACACACACAGAGGGCGATGAGGGCACACACACAGAGGGCGATGAGGGCACACACACAGAGGGCGATGAGGGCACACACACAGAGGGCGATGAGGGCACACACACAGAGGGCGATGAGGGCACACACACAGAGGGCGATGAGGGCACACACACAGAGGGCGATGAGGGCACACACACAGAGGGCGATGAGGGCACACACACAGAGGGCGATGAGGGCACACACACAGAGGGCGATGAGGGCACACACACAGAGGGCGATGAGGGCACACACACACAGAGGGCGATGAGGGCACACACACAGAGGGCGATGAGGGCACACACACAGAGGGCGATGAGGGCACACACACAGAGGGCGATGAGGGCACACACACAGAGGGCGATGAGGGCACACACACAGAGGGCGATGAGGGCACACACACAGAGGGCGATGAGGGCACACACACAGAGGGCGATGAGGGCACACACACAGAGGGCGATGAGGGCACACACACAGAGGGCGATGAGGGCACACACACAGAGGGCGATGAGGGCACACACACAGAGGGCGATGAGGGCACACACACAGAGGGCGATGAGGGCACACACACAGAGGGCGATGAGGGCACACACACAGAGGGCGATGAGGGCACACACACAGAGGGCGATGAGGGCACACACACAGAGGGCGATGAGGGCACACACACAGAGGGCGATGAGGGCACACACACAGAGGGCGATGAGGGCACACACACAGAGGGCGATGAGGGCACACACACAGAGGGCGATGAGGGCACACACACAGAGGGCGATGAGGGCACACACACACAGAGGGCGATGAGGGCACACACACAGAGGGCGATGAGGGCACACACACAGAGGGCGATGAGGGCACACACACAGAGGGCGATGAGGGCACACACACAGAGGGCGATGAGGGCACACACACAGAGGGCGATGAGGGCACACACACAGAGGGCGATGAGGGCACACACACAGAGGGCGATGAGGGCACACACACAGAGGGCGATGAGGGCACACACACAGAGGGCGATGAGGGCACACACACAGAGGGCGATGAGGGCACACACACAGAGGGCGATGAGGGCACACACACAGAGGGCGATGAGGGCACACACACAGAGGGCGATGAGGGCACACACACAGAGGGCGATGAGGGCACACAGGGGCACACACACAGAGGGAGATGAGGGCACACAGGGGCACACACACAGAGGGAGATGAGGGCACACAGGGGCACACACACAGAGGGAGATGAGGGCACACAGGGGCACACACACAGAGGGAGATGAGGGCACACAGGGGCACACACACAGAGGGAGATGAGGGCACACAGGGGCACACACACAGAGGGAGATGAGGGCACACAGGGGCACACACACAGAGGGAGATGAGGGCACACAGGGGCACACACACAGAGGGAGATGAGGGCACACAGGGGCACACACACAGAGGGAGATGAGGGCACACAGGGGCACACACACAGAGGGAGATGAGGGCACACAGGGGCACACACACAGAGGGCGATGAGGGCACACAGGGGCACACACACAGAGGGAGATGAGGGCACACACAGGGGCACACACACAGAGGGAGATGAGGGCACACAGGGGCACACACACAGAGGGAGATGAGGGCACACAGGGGCACACACACAGAGGGAGATGAGGGCACACAGGGGCACACACACAGAGGGAGATGAGGGCACACAGGGGCACACACACAGAGGGAGATGAGGGCACACACACAGAGGGCGATGAGGGCACACAGGGGCACACACACAGAGGGCGATGAGGGCACACAGGGGCACACACACAGAGGGCGATGAGGGCACACAGGGGCACACACACAGAGGGCGATGAGGGCACACAGGGGCACACACACAGAGGGAGATGAGGGCACACACAGGGGCACACACACAGAGGGAGATGAGGGCACACAGGGGCACACACACAGAGGGAGATGAGGGCACACAGGGGCACACACACAGAGGGAGATGAGGGCACACAGGGGCACACACACAGAGGGAGATGAGGGCACACAGGGGCACACACACAGAGGGAGATGAGGGCACACAGGGGCACACACACAGAGGGAGATGAGGGCACACAGGGGCACACACACAGAGGGAGATGAGGGCACACAGGGGCACACACACAGAGGGCGATGAGGGCACACACACAGAGGGCGATGAGGGCACACACACAGAGGGCGATGAGGGCACACACACAGAGGGCGATGAGGGCACACACACAGAGGGCGATGAGGGCACACACACAGAGGGCGATGAGGGCACACACACAGAGGGCGATGAGGGCACACACACAGAGGGCGATGAGGGCACACACACAGAGGGCGATGAGGGCACACACACAGAGGGCGATGAGGGCACACACACAGAGGGCGATGAGGGCACACACACAGAGGGCGATGAGGGCACACACACAGAGGGCGATGAGGGCACACACAGAGGGCGATGAGGGCACACACACAGAGGGAGATGAGGGCACACAGGGGCACACACACAGAGGGAGATGAGGGCACACAGGGGCACACACACAGAGGGAGATGAGGGCACACAGGGGCACACACACAGAGGGAGATGAGGGCACACAGGGGCACACACACAGAGGGAGATGAGGGCACACAGGGGCACACACACAGAGGGAGATGAGGGCACACAGGGGCACACACACAGAGGGAGATGAGGGCACACAGGGGCACACACACAGAGGGAGATGAGGGCACACAGGGGCACACACACAGAGGGAGATGAGGGCACACAGGGGCACACACACAGAGGGAGATGAGGGCACACAGGGGCACACACACAGAGGGAGATGAGGGCACACAGGGGCACACACACAGAGGGCGATGAGGGCACACAGGGGCACACACACAGAGGGAGATGAGGGCACACACAGGGGCACACACACAGAGGGAGATGAGGGCACACAGGGGCACACACACAGAGGGAGATGAGGGCACACAGGGGCACACACACAGAGGGAGATGAGGGCACACAGGGGCACACACACAGAGGGAGATGAGGGCACACAGGGGCACACACACAGAGGGAGATGAGGGCACACACACAGAGGGCGATGAGGGCACACAGGGGCACACACACAGAGGGCGATGAGGGCACACAGGGGCACACACACAGAGGGCGATGAGGGCACACAGGGGCACACACACAGAGGGCGATGAGGGCACACAGGGGCACACACACAGAGGGAGATGAGGGCACACACAGGGGCACACACACAGAGGGAGATGAGGGCACACAGGGGCACACACACAGAGGGAGATGAGGGCACACAGGGGCACACACACAGAGGGAGATGAGGGCACACAGGGGCACACACACAGAGGGAGATGAGGGCACACAGGGGCACACACACAGAGGGAGATGAGGGCACACAGGGGCACACACACAGAGGGAGATGAGGGCACACAGGGGCACACACACAGAGGGAGATGAGGGCACACAGGGGCACACACACAGAGGGAGATGAGGGCACACAGGGGCACACACACAGAGGGAGATGAGGGCACACAGGGGCACACACACAGAGGGAGATGAGGGCACACAGGGGCACACACACAGAGGGAGATGAGGGCACACAGGGGCACACACACAGAGGGAGATGAGGGCACACAGGGGCACACACACAGAGGGCGATGAGGGCACACAGGGGCACACACACAGAGGGAGATGAGGGCACACACAGGGGCACACACACAGAGGGAGATGAGGGCACACAGGGGCACACACACAGAGGGAGATGAGGGCACACAGGGGCACACACACAGAGGGAGATGAGGGCACACAGGGGCACACACACAGAGGGAGATGAGGGCACACAGGGGCACACACACAGAGGGAGATGAGGGCACACACACAGAGGGCGATGAGGGCACACAGGGGCACACACACAGAGGGCGATGAGGGCACACAGGGGCACACACACAGAGGGCGATGAGGGCACACAGGGGCACACACACAGAGGGCGATGAGGGCACACAGGGGCACACACACAGAGGGAGATGAGGGCACACACAGGGGCACACACACAGAGGGAGATGAGGGCACACAGGGGCACACACACAGAGGGAGATGAGGGCACACAGGGGCACACACACAGAGGGAGATGAGGGCACACAGGGGCACACACACAGAGGGAGATGAGGGCACACAGGGGCACACACACAGAGGGAGATGAGGGCACACAGGGGCACACACACAGAGGGAGATGAGGGCACACAGGGGCACACACACAGAGGGAGATGAGGGCACACAGGGGCACACACACAGAGGGCGATGAGGGCACACAGGGGCACACACACAGAGGGCGATGAGGGCACACAGGGGCACACACACAGAGGGAGATGAGGGCACACACAGGGGCACACACACAGAGGGAGATGAGGGCACACAGGGGCACACACACAGAGGGAGATGAGGGCACACAGGGGCACACACACAGAGGGAGATGAGGGCACACAGGGGCACACACACAGAGGGAGATGAGGGCACACAGGGGCACACACACAGAGGGAGATGAGGGCACACAGGGGCACACACACAGAGGGAGATGAGGGCACACAGGGGCACACACACAGAGGGAGATGAGGGCACACAGGGGCACACACACAGAGGGCGATGAGGGCACACAGGGGCACACACACAGAGGGAGATGAGGGCACACACAGGGGCACACACACAGAGGGAGATGAGGGCACACAGGGGCACACACACAGAGGGAGATGAGGGCACACAGGGGCACACACACAGAGGGAGATGAGGGCACACAGGGGCACACACACAGAGGGAGATGAGGGCACACAGGGGCACACACACAGAGGGAGATGAGGGCACACAGGGGCACACACACAGAGGGAGATGAGGGCACACAGGGGCACACACACAGAGGGAGATGAGGGCACACAGGGGCACACACACAGAGGGAGATGAGGGCACACAGGGGCACACACACAGAGGGAGATGAGGGCACACAGGGGCACACACACAGAGGGAGATGAGGGCACACAGGGGCACACACACAGAGGGAGATGAGGGCACACAGGGGCACACACACAGAGGGAGATGAGGGCACACAGGGGCACACACACAGAGGGAGATGAGGGCACACAGGGGCACACACACAGAGGGAGATGAGGGCACACAGGGGCACACACACAGAGGGAGATGAGGGCACACAGGGGCACACACACAGAGGGAGATGAGGGCACACAGGGGCACACACACAGAGGGAGATGAGGGCACACAGGGGCACACACACAGAGGGAGATGAGGGCACACAGGGGCACACACACAGAGGGAGATGAGGGCACACAGGGGCACACACACAGAGGGAGATGAGGGCACACAGGGGCACACACACAGAGGGAGATGAGGGCACACAGGGGCACACACACGCAAGAAGATGCGGGAACGCAGGGGGGTGAAGGTGGGCAGTGGGATGTGGGACAAGGTTGCAAACAAATGCCGGGATATTTGTATTGTCCTAGATCTTCGATCAAATACAAAAAACGAATTGAATACTCTCTTCAAATACAAGAAAACTCCTCGTCCTAATACCAAAAATTCCTTGTTGTATCAGGAACATTAGCGTTTAGGGGCATTACCCATATGATCACTTACCCACAAAAGGTTCCTAGCTGTCTACTCTTAGCCCAAACGTCCCTGACTTAGACAACAATGCTACGGTGGGCGGTGGGCGGTGGAAAAGGGCAGTGGGCGGTGGGCGATGGAAAAGGGCGGTGGGCGGTGGGCGGTGGGCGGTGGCCCGTGGGCGGTGGAACAGGGCGGTGGGCGGTGGGCGGTGGGCGGTGGGCGGTGGGCGGTGGAACAGGGCGGTGGGTGGTGGGCGGTGGGCGGTGGACCGTGGAACAGGGCGGTGGGCAGTGGGCGGTGGGCGGTGGAAAAGGGCGGTGGGCGGTGGGCGGTGGAAAAGGGCGGTGGGCGGTGGGCAGTGGGCGGTGGGCGGTGGGCGGTGGAAAAGGGCGGTGGGCGGTGGGCGGTGGAACAGGGCGGTGGGCGGTGGGCGGTGGGCGGTGGAAGTGGGCGGTGGGCGGTGGGCGATAGGCGGTGGGCGGTGGGCGGTGGGCGGTGGAAAAGGACGGTGGGCGGTGGGCGGTGGGCGGTGGGAAAGGGTGGTGGGCGGTGGGCGGTGGAACAGGGCGGTGGGCGGTGGGCGGTGGAAGTGGGCGGTGGGCGGTGGGCGATAGGCAGTGGGCGGTGGGCGGTGGGCGGTGGGCGGTGGAAAAGGGCGGTGGGCGGTGGGCGGTGGGAAAGAGTGGTGGGCGGTGGGCGGTGGGCGGTGGGCGGTGGGCGGTGGAACAGGGCGGTGGGCGGTGGGCGGTGGGCGGTGGAAAAGGGCGGTGGGCGGTGGGCGGTGAGCGGTGGGCGGTGGGCGGTGGGCTTAGGAAAAGGGCGGTGGGCGGTGGGCGGTGGGCGGTGGGCGGTGGGCGGTGGGCGGTGGGCTTAGGAAAAGGGCGGTGGGCGGTGGGCTTAAAGGGCGGTGGGCGGTGGGCGGTGGGCGGTGGGCGGTGGGCGGTGGGCGGTGGGCGATTGCGATTGCGATTGCGCGATTGCGCGCTTCTTCGAATTTTTTGTATTTTGTGTTTGAACGCAAGGGTTACAACGCAAAACGTGCGCCCAGGCGAGCGCTCTTTCAACACAGCAAGGCAGGGCATGGCAGGGCAGCGCAGGGCAGGGAAAGCCATGGCATGGCAGGTCATTGCATAGCACGGCATGGCAGGGCGTGCAGCATGCTCACCGCAGTCAAGTGGAGTGTCATTAGGCAGAGAGACGTTGGTGGGGTCACAGATCTGTGGTTGGATCCACTGCCACCTCTGCATGCTCGCACAACGCAGTCACAAGGGACGGGGGGTTGCGCTGGGAGAAGAGGTGAGAAGAGGGGCATGGGAACGCAGTGAGAAATGCAGGGACTCGGCAGCGGCAGCAAGCGCAAGGGCGTGGAGGGATGGGGGAGAGGCAGGCGTGGCGTGGCGCACCATGGTTCGCTTCTTGGAGGCCAGCTGGCACGGCGTGTATGCGATGGTGGCGTCGCGCTCGATGCTGCACGCTGATCCAGGAAGGTGGGGCGGGAAGAGAGGGGGAGGGGGGGGGGGGTTCGGGTGTGCTGAGCCGAGTGAGCAAGGGGAATGGCACGAGGTGATTCTGAGAGGTGATTGAGGGGCAGCTGTGCGTTACACGGGGACACACATGTGGGCGACGCGCATGGGATGACCTCTTACAGGGGCGAGGCTTGCACTCGGTGCGGGGGATGATGCGCGAATACGTGCTGCTGCCACAGGGCGTGCACTCTGACGCCCTCTCCCTGCACGCACGATTGTGCCCACATGCATGCATGGACATGTGCACATGCTCATGTGTATGCAGATGAGAATGTGTGTGAACGTGCGAAGGTCTATGGTGATGCAAATGGATGTGCACATAGATCCATGTGCATGCCCGTGGCTACATGATCGATGGCTGCCAGAGGAGTATTGGAGCTGTGCGACTAGCATGAAGTGCCACGAAGCACAAGGTAGGGAGTAGCACAGGGAAGTGACGGGAGCTCATCTGCTGCATCCACTGCCATTGACCTGTTTGACTTCCCTTGACTCGCTGAACCCCTTCCCGACTCACTTGGAAAAGGTGTTATCAGGGCATGGCAGGCAGGCAGCAGCGCCCTCACCACTGCGCGCACAGATGTAGGACGCATGAGGAAGACAGGTGTGAGGATGTTTGTCAGGATGGGGTTGGGATGGGAGCGTACAAGGACATATTGGAAACCCTCCACCATCCTAACGAGACTCAACACGCAGGAAGGAAGGGTGTGACTGATATGCCGTGCGTTACTTATCACGGGTGGTGGGTGGTGGGGAGATCACCTGTGGGAGCCAGGCGGGCAGGGCAGGCAGTGAAAGTCGTTGAAGGCAACGCCGTCCACCTCGATGTACTGCGGCGCGGCAACACACACACGGCCATGGGGGTTTGAGAGAGCATGGCATGGGAGACAGCTCCGGCTGCTTGCAATGGAGATGCATGGGTGTGCAATGAGTGTATGCAGTACGGGTGTAATGGTGGCTATGGCATGTGGAGTGGCAGGGTTGAGGCATGTGGGATGGCAGGCCTATGGCACGTGGTGGGGAGCAGCTGACCGGAATGGTGGTGACGTCTTCGCCCTTGCTCCACTTGCTGTCCTTGCTGTACTCCCACACCAGCCGGTGCTGCCCGGCCTCCACTGGGAACACCATCTCGCGCGGCTCAAACTGCACGCAACAGCGCACACAGGCGCATGGGAACACGGGGGGGGAGGGGGAGGGGGGACGGGGGTAGAGGTGCGTGAGCCTCACGGTTGAGGCTTGTTGAGGGAAAGCGGATGAGGGGAGAAGGGGCTACTTACGGGCGAGAGCGTTACCTGGTAGGAGGTGAGCGTTACCTGGTAGGAGGTGAGCGCCATGAGGGGCTCAGCGAGTGAGTCGATGTAGAAGGAGAGCCCGTCATGGCCCATCTCCGCACTCACCGTGAAGTTGAACTTCACGTACCTGGGGAACAGGGGGGGTAGGGTAAAAGGGAGAGGAGGCGCAAAAACAGAGAGAGGAACAATTATGGGAGGTAATAAATCCAACTTCAGCCCATGGGTGATTAGGCCATACGGATCACGATCCTCCCCTGCCCTCCTCTCGCCCTCTATCCTTCCCGTCCCCCTCAACCCACTGGATCACTCCTCTCGTGCCATGCACTGCATGGTGCTTCTTAGCCATGCTGCCCGCTCACCCGTCCCTGACGAGGTTGACGTCCAGCGAGAGTGAGGAGCGCAGGTTGTTGTGGCAGTTGTACGCCGCGTCCGACGCACACACCTCCTGCGCTCACGTCAAGGGGGTCGGGGGGAAGAGGGGAGGGGGGGTGGAGAAGGGTTTAGGTGGGAGGAGAGGAGAGGGGGAGGGGCTTGGGGGAGAGCAGTGTGAGAGACGGCAGCAGGAGCGACGTGCATGTGAGTGAACGCCATGGAGGGACGCTCAACGCACGCCCATGAGGGGGAGGCCTTACCGGGAGCCAGTCGTTGATGTAGTCGTACGCCCCTGCCTCGAACGCCCCATCGTCCGCGTACCAGCTGCACCAGTGGTGGGGGGAGGGGGGGAGACACACAGAGAGCACAGAGGGGACACGAGCGGCAAGAGAGGAGAGGAGAAGGGGCGGCAGACTGAGGGGGCAGGAAGGAAGAAAGAGCGAGCAGGGATGCCGTCGTCAGAAGAAGAACGAGGGGTGAGATCGGCAGCACGCCATGGCAAGCTGGGAGGCGAGGGGGCGGCATGGGGTGGTGGTGGCAGCAACATACGGGTCGCAGTCGAAGGCGCCCGTGGCGTTGGTGAACTTGCACTCGGTCTGAAGGGAGGGGGGGTGGGGGGGGGGGAGAACGGGAGGAACGGGGAGGGGGGGAGAGCAGGGGCGTACAGAGCTGAGGGCTTGATGGAGGCTGATTACAAGCACGTGAGGTGTATCGTTTGCAAGAGTAGCATGCAGATTGAGCGGGCAGGATAATGGTGACATTGACCATGCTGCATGCATGCACTCTCTGTGCCTGCTGCCATGCCGTGCACTCTTTGTGCCTGCCGCCATGCCATGCCTGCGGCTCACCTTGAAGTACTTGGGGTCGATCTCATATATCTCCTCGAATCTCCATTTTCCCCCCATGCTGTACGTGCCTGGCGGAAATGGGGAAAGGGAGGGGGGAAGGGGGCGAAGAGAGAGGGGGGGGGAAAGGGGGAGGGAGGGGAGATGGGATCGGTGTCCGTCCAATTCGTCTATCCTCCCCTCAACACTCAGATCAACACAGATCTGCCTGCTACGTCTCACCCCCAGGCCTTTCGTCTTCCCTCTCCCCTCGCCGCACACTCTTGTCTGCTGACAGGGGGGCACTACTGACATGCTTTCACTCCGTCCGCTTGGCCCTTCCACCTCGCTCCCTCGCATGCATGGCCCTCCGCTCTCCTCACTCCCAGCATGCTCTAGCGACCCCTTCCCTGCCGGCTACCCCTCCCCTGGAGATGAGCCCCACCTGCAGGGCACTTGAGGCAGTGGTCGTGGCGCAGGTAGTGGCCCACGCCGCACTGCATGTCTGGCGCGGGGGGTACATGCGAGTGGGGGGGAAGGCACAACGGCGTGGGAATGACAGGGTAAGAGAGAGGCGGGGGGGATAAGCAGTGGTGCATTGGAGCGTGCAGAAGGAGCATGGAGAGCGTTGGCAGAGAAGAGTGGCAAGGTATGGATGGAGGACAGGTTGCAGTGGTCGCGGGGGTGGTCGCGACGCGTGTAGGGGCGTTGTGGAAGGGAGGAGGGAGAGCAGTACCGCAGGGAATGTAGGTGCTGGGCGGCAGGCGGATGGAGCCCCTCCTGTAGGGGTCGCACTCACGGCCAAAGTAATAGATCACCTGATCAGGGCGAAAACCGGGGGGGGTGGAAGGAAGGGGGTGATGAGGGGGCATGTGGTGCAGCTGCCAAGACGAATGAGACCTGCATTTGAAATGGCGGGAGGTGGATGTCCAGGAGTGTTAGTGCATGAAGCTACGCATTGAGCCGAGATGAGCGCAAGGGAGCATGCATGGCATGGCATGGCGCACCTCAACAACGGGCGTGTCAGAAATGGCCTGGCCTGTGAGGGGGTGGCGAATGAAGTCGCAGTCGGAGTAGATGGCGTCCATGTCGCCCACTGTGCACGGCGCGCTCGCCAGGCCTGCCATGCCGCCATGCATGCATGCAGTGATGGGTCGCATGCGTGTAACATGGTACTGGACCAGAGAGAAGACCAGAGAGCACCACAGCTTCCCTGAACGTGAAAACGCGAGTGAAATTGAGCAGAGGGCGAGCGGTGAGAGCAAAGGGCGATGGGGGCAGGGAGGGGCAGCACTGACCGCAGTAGACCATGTCGACGGGGATGAACGCCGACTGCTGTGCTCCCGTGCAGTCTGTGTGCAGCGAGGGGGCGCGGGGGAGAAGGGAGAGGGACAGGGAAAGCAGTGAATGCGAGATCAGCTGTGCACGGCTGTTCAGAGACCCTCCAGTTCCGAGCATGCGGACTAGTAGGTGCGTGCCACTCACTGGCTGGGAGGTACTGCATGTTGCATTTGGTGCCATCGTCTGAGATGCTGTACGTGACGTCAAAGTCCTCAGGCGTGCATGCTGCAGGGGGGATGGGAGAGTCAGCAAGCAAGTGGAAGGATGGGAAGGGGAGGTGGATGGCCTGGGCCACACCATGGCTTGAAGTTGATCTTACAGTCAAGGCAGCATACTGAATAAACGTCATCAACCATTCTGATGAGTGAACCAAGGTACGGTATTCGGCTATGCCCCCATCCCCAGCTCCAGACAATCCACACTGAGGCACTCACACCCAGCATACCCGACCCTTCCTTACACGTACCCGTGTCGCCGCGCCCTTCCCCGGCACTCACTGCATGGCTCCTGCCGCATGGGCTGCACTTTGAACGGATCCGTGCAGTTGCGGATCTTCACAAACGACACAATGCGCCACCCCTTGCCTGCACACGCCATGCACACGCGCCAGGAAGAGGGAGTCGGGAATCAGTAGGGTTTGGGAGCAGACGAAGCGCACAGTGAGGGGAGCGGCGAGCCTGGAATGACAGTAGCGTTAGCGGCGCCTGTGTGTGTTCCGGTGATGCACGATGCGCAGCAGCCGCATTGCCTCCAAGCCAACCACGCCACCCGCCTCCATGTGCGGTCAGCACAGAATTTGCGTCGTCCTAGGGCCGTCTCTCACCGTCGCAGGAGCCTGACTGCCTCACGTAGTCCGTCAGCCCGCACGTCACCGACAGCTCCACCTGCCCCGCCTCCTCGTCCCATGCTTCCACCCCCCCCTTGGGCTCCGCTGGTGCTCCGCTCACGCCTTCCGGACCCACAGGGGAAGGCGGAGGAGCAGCTTGTGGGGAAGGAGGCGCAGGTAGCGCCTCCCCCGCGCCTGACTTGCTCTCCCCCGATCCTGCATTCTGCTCGCCGCTGCTCGTCCCCGACCCGCTTCCAGCAGGCGCCACCTGTGGGGGAGCTGGAAGCGGCGGAGGCTGCTGCGCCAATGGCTCCGCGGATGGCTGGGAGATCGGCGGGCCCGCAGTACTGACGGACGGTTGAGTCAAGGGAGGCTGGGATTCAACCGGCGAATGCGCGAACGATTCGGACGGAACTGGTGGCGATGCTCGTGACAATGTCTGGTTGGACGGCTGAGAATCGAGCGACGACTGGGCGGTCGGATTGACCTGAGGCTGGGACCCTGGAATGGCCGGAGACTGCTGCGACAATCCCCAGGGTTCCGCGACTGGAGGAGTTGTCCATGGGGAGTCATTGGCCAGTAGACATGGAATGCAGACCAGCAAAATGACTAGAGCGGCTGTTATCTTGAACCAAGAAGCCATTGATGGATTTACGCCAGCAATTCACAAACAGGAGAGGCAGCTGAATTACAATGCAGGGGAAATGCTGTGGTCATTCTCCATTCCGACAGTGACCTCACGCTACGTTGACTTCCGCATGATATCACTGAAATGTGAGGTTGGTTGATGATGCCCGTAAGGCGACAGCTAGCTAAGGATATAGTTTTCGCGAATGATGGTAACCATTACAGAACTTTTCCTCGGTCTGGTTGGCGCAGTCACTTATGATGAGGCATCAGCCAGACCATCCCACCTGGCGCCTCGGCTTTCCAAGATTTCCCCCGTAAACCCCAAAGTCTCTTTTCAGCCACATGTAAATGGTGCTGCACTAACATAATGCTTTCGGGCGTTGTACTTTTTCTCGGAAAATTAAGAAGTTCGAACGCCAACCGTGCTGAGCCGTAGTGAAACCGACTAAACCACATCAAAACGTCTACAACCCCTTTACAAGTTCATGTATATTACCACTTTATCCTCTTCAAATTTGTAACGGAATCTCAACACGAGGGAGAAAAAATCTTGAGTGCCTTATCATATTTGCGACCTATTTGACCTAAATGATGGACATATTTTGTGTTTCGCTGCCATGACCATAAGGAGGTGGTAGAGTTGTTCATGGTTATAGCGTAGACTTGTTTGATGTTTGACCAATTGTTACACCAAATGCCATTGCAAAGTCCAGCACTCGCGCCGCCGTCGGAAACGGGGAAATGGGCAAAAGGGAAGTCGGGTCGCGTCTATGCAAAATGACCGTTCCAATTGCAATGTGCAATTCCTCCCGTTGCTTCCCCAAATCTTCACACCATGTGAATTCTCTCATGATCTCATCCCATGTCCTCGCATTCAGTTTCCCATTTTGAGCAACGCAGAACCTGTCCGTCACATTCTGTGCATTTCCAGCAATTCCGTGACCTGTCCTTTCGCATAGAGTGGTTATTTGTCATGCACCCTCTGCGCCCTCCTTGACACGCTTTCTATTCACAATGGCGGTGGGCAGTGGACGACTAGTAAAGGAAAACATAACGGAACTCGACGAGCTAACACCGTCCCCATCCATCAATACATTCAAACACATTCACGCGGAGCACGATGCCGCCTCTAGCTCCGTATCGCCGCTATCCATGTCGCTCTCGCTGTCCGGCACGTTCAGCTGCGACAGCTCGCACTTCAGCTACGACCCCGCGCCCGACGACACGGGCTGGGAGAGCCCCTCCGATTGCGGCGCGGACGCGGTCTTCGGCGCGCAATACGGCGACCGTCCCGCCAGCCGCAGGCGGAGCTTCACAGGCGGGGGGGGGAGCCTCCCGGTGGGGCGGCTGTCGGAGGGGCATCTGAGTCTGGAGCGCGGAGTCAAGTCGGCGACAGTGCCGCGCGTCAGCAGCCGGCTGCTGGCCCCCACGCAGTCGTCGCAAGCCAAGTCGCGCTGTCTCGCCCATCGGCGCGCAGCGGCGGACGGCGGGGCGATGGGCCGCGATCCTTTCAGCACGTCGTCGCAGCCGAGGAAGGCCAAGGCTGGCGCGCCGGCAGCAGGGAAGGCCCACGGCACTGCCGCGGCAGCACACTCGCACCAACACGTAAAAGCGCCGGCTTGCGCCCCACGTGGTGAAAAGGTGTCTGCGGGGAAATCGGGACCGAATGCGGCACGGAATGCGGCGAAGGGTGGGCAGAGTGGGCAGGGGCGAAGGATGTCGGACGCGAGTGAGAACCTGGCGCTCCAGCTGGCCAAGCAGCGGAATGGAGTGCGGGCGGTGGGCGGCGGGGTTGCTAAGAAGGGGGATGGTGGCGGCGCCGCTGCACAGATACCACGTGGCGGGAGGTTGGGATCTGCACAGGCTGACAGGGCTCCGTCCGTTTGTCGCCATGCGCTGGTGGCGAGCAGGAAGCCTCTGGTTGCTGGTGCTGCGGGGAACGCCGTTCAGGGCCGTGTTGCGGCGGGTGGAGTGAAGCCGCGGCACCGCCTGGCGGATGGGAAAGGCGCACCTGGCGGCGGCGGACGAATCCCCGCGCAGGACGCACCGGACGGGGGAAAGGGTTTGCGGGGACATACTGCGGCGGGATCAGGGAGCGTTAAGTGGAAGAACGAGAAGCGGGTTGTGGGGAACATTGGGGCAGGGACTGGTGGGAGAGGAGCGAGCGCGGAGCAGACGCACAAGGCGCGTCGTGAGGCGCAGCCGGCAGCAGGACACACGCAGCAACCCAAGCACTCGCTGAACGCGCAAGACATGGGAAGCGGCGTTGCTGCGAAAGGCTTGCATGGATGCGGTGGAGGTGGCTTGGTAAATGGTACTGACCCCCACACTGCACCCCGCACGCAGCATGCTGCTTCTCCTCATCACCCACCACCTCCCCCCCCTGACCAGCTGGCTCTTACTAACCAACCAACTATGAACCATCCAATCAACCAAACCACCCACGTGCTCTCAGCGACCTTGACCCTCCCGCCGAGCCTCCTTCCCTTCCCGCTCGCCTTCCCCTCGCCCTGCCCGTCCTCCTCCTCGGGGTCCGCGGACGACGCGGACATGCCGTGGGCGGAGTGGATCGGCGACGTGCGCGGCATGGAGCAGGACGTGCAGTACGTGCGCCACGCGCTGCTGGCCTCGGGCTTCCTCTCGGACGCGCTGCCGCCGCTCTTCTCGCCGTACCTGCCCATCAACCCCGCCTTCTTCCACCACCTCGAAGCCGCCTTCCTCATGCGCTGCTGCGCCCACACCACGCACGACCCGTCCCTTGTGGCCTCCAGCCTGCCGGCCTTCCCCCTCGCCGTGCCCGCCTCGTACCACGAGGAGCGCCGCCAGCGCATGCTGCTCTTCGACGCCGTCAACGAGGCCCTCGGCCGCCGCCTCGCAGCATTCCTCCCTCGCCCACCCTGGTCTCCCCCTCCCGCCCGTGCAGCGCCCAGGAGGCGGCCGCTGGGCATGGAGCTGGTGCAGGAGGTGTGGTCCGAGATCCACTCGTGGCCCGTGGCGTCCACAGAGGAGGTGTACACTGTGTTGGACGAGTCCGCCCGCCGCGACCTGTGGCGGGGCACGGAGAGATGGCGCGAGGAGGACGTTGCGGAGGAGGAGTCGGGCGTGGTGTTTGACGTGGAAGGGGCGCTGCTGGAGCAGCTGCTGGGGGAGGTGTGCCTGGAGTATCTGCTAGTGGAGCAAAGGCGGGCCGCTGTGAGGAGTTCAGTGCATGGGGTGGTGAAGGCTCAGATTATGGCTTCAGGTTTTGTATCTGCTGCTCATGTGAAGGCAGCGGGAAGGAATGGAGTAGTGGCACTCCTTGGCCCTGCTTGCCCAACAGCTGTGAGTAAAAACATGCTTAGGCTTCCAAGGATGTCGTGACTTGCAGACGGGTTATATGTGTTGTTCATAGTTTTCCAATAACCTGGTAGCAATTTCGTAATCTAGTTGTTGCTGCTATTATTGTGGTAAGATAGCATTGATATGACTTTTATTGTATCTTGCAAGCTCCATGCTTGTGATATTTTATGACAATCTTTTGTTCATATTGAAAAGGGAACGTCTGATCAATAATCCACCCCCATCTACAAGGCAAACACAAACTCATTTCATATTGGGAGCTGTAGGCTTTTAAGAAAATTGCATGCATTGCCTGTTGAACATAATGTACCGTATGAAATAAATCGTGTATTCAGATTCAGGCAAAGAATGCACCTTCCCTGATAGGAGGGCACTACAGCCTTGGGAATTGCTCGAGAATCGAGACCGCTCATTCACTCAGGCAGCTCCATTTCTCAACCCATTATCATTGCTGTTTTCTTAATACACCTTTCTCTCTCTATTGTCCCACCCTGAACAGTTCATATTGCAATCTCACTTACCAGGTTCTCAGCATGACTCGCGTTGACACTGAACCTGATTGGCTGCAGTCTAAACGATAGCGAACAGCCAATTTGTGTTTCAACAATTGCTAGTTTCCGAGCTGGGACGTCGCGCAGGCAACTCTATCTAGTGCATGAGCGAGATTTTGTAAGCAAGTGTCATTGTTTACTGCGGGATTTCCCCTTGAAGGACCCGTTTGCCCGTGTTTTACATTTCCTATTTACAGGCTCAAGCCGCGTGCAAAACTGTAAAATTAAACAGAATAACAGGTGTACCTCCTACTTTGTTTGTCTGCATTCTTCACACTCTCGACCTCGCGCCTGACCTACATGCGGCATGCTCCAGGGGAGTGGAATTCGCTTTCCGCAGGTCAACGGCCGCCCGTTTCGCCTTTGCATGATCGATCGCGCTCTTCCTCTGAGTTTTGCAATGCAGCAATCAGTTCATATCCTAAATTAGGCGGCTTTGGTGTCATCCACTAGGGCCTAGTGCAAGGCTCCCGCTCCCATCGGCGTCATGGCGGAGAGGGAGCAAGGCGCGTCGACTCCGCCCGCTGCATTCGACCCGGCGCGAGTCGGTCCGCATTCTCCGCCGCCCGCCTCCGAGGATCCCGAGGCGGCGGACGCGGGGCGGGTGCGGCTGGTGCAGGTGGAGATCGCGGGCGCGCGGAGGCTGCTGGCCAAGGACGGCGCGTCGTCCAGCCCCTTCTGCGTCGTGCGTCCTGCTTTCTCTGCCGCCTTCGAGCCCTCGCTTGCTTGTATCGGCTCTGCCTTATGACGCGTCCGGACTCGCGCTTTGCCCTCTGGTCGACGAAGCCGGTCCCTTGCTCTGACTTCTATCAGGGCGTGCTGCCATGGCATGGCGGGGCATGGCGTGGCATGGCGTGGCATGGCATGGCATGGCGGGGCATGGCGTGGCATGGCGTGGCATGGCATGGCATGGCGTGGCGTGGCGTGGCGTGGCGTGGCATGGCGTGGCATGGCATGGCATGGCGTGCCGTGCCGTGCCGTGCCGTGCCGTGGCGGGGCGTGGCGTGGCGTTGCGTGGCGTGGCGTGGTGTGGTGTGGCATGGCGGTGCGTGGCGTGGCGTGGCGTGGCATGGCATGGCGTGGCATGGCATGGCATGGCGTGGCGTGGCGTGCTGTGCCGTGCCGTGGCGGGGCGTGGCGTGGCGTGACATGGCGTTGCGTGGCGTGGTGTGGTGTGGTGTGGCGTGGCGGTGCGTGGCGTGGCGTGGCGTGGCGTGGTGTGGCGTGGCGTGGTGGTGTACGGCAGGTGGAGTTCAACGGGCACACGAAGCGCACGCACACAGTGGAGAGGAATCTCAACCCCGTGTGGGACGAGAAGGTGAGCGGGACGCTTTCCGACTGCCAGCAGCCAAAGTGAAAGGCGTTGCCAACCCGCCAATGCTTACCTCTTAATGCTCGCTTTATGCCGTGCCCCTGAAATTCGTCCTTTTCCCTCCCCTTCCCTCCCCTCCTCCCTCCCTCCCCCGCCCCCCCAGTTCGTGTTTGCAGTGCCCCTCCCCTCCCCCCTGCCCCCCGCACTCGCGGACCAGGAAGAGCCCGTCCACGTCACTATCTACACCCCCTCCTCCGCCGCCGCCCCCCTCGTTGCGGCCGGCAGCCTTTCTGCCAGCTTTCGCCGCCAGGGGCTGGGCGGCAGCAGCAGCTTGTGGGCGGCGGATCTAGAGAGAAGCGTGTTCCTGGGGAAGGTGCAGGTGAGGGGGTGAGGGGGGCGGACAACGGATGCTTGGGGGGCAGGGCGGGGGTGCGTACCGCTCGCCCCATCCTTCTCCTGTGCCTCCCGCCATTCTCCACCTCAACTACACCCACACACGTCTCCTTCCTCTTGCTCACTCCATCCAGCATTGCTCGCCTTCCCTCTTCACATGCCTCTCTCACCCCTCGCCACCCCCCACTGCCCTCCCAGGTGCCCATCCGCCTGCACGCCCCCACCCCCGGCATCCCCCCCTTGGCCTCGGCGCTGCTTACCTGGCTGCCTCTGGAGCGCCGCTCCCTCATCAACCGCGTGCGCGGCGACCTGCGGTCAGTGGGGGTGAGACCTGGGGTGGGGTGGGGGGGGGGAGAGGGGGCGAGAGGTGTGAGAGTGGGTGGACATGGTTCGTTCAGCTGCACGGCTCTGATGGCAGCCTATCACTGGCTTCTGCTGTGATTCTCCACACTCCACCGCCTCCAATCGCCTTGCTTATTTCAACCCTACTACGCTGTCTGTCCCCAAGCCGCGCCCAACCCCTCGCTGTCAGTTGGACCATGCTTGGAACATGCTTTTCTATTCTTCATAGAACAGCCACAAACAAAGCTTTTTCGCCTCCTCGCCCCTCCCTCCCCCACCTTTCCTGCCTACCCCCTCCCCTGCCCCCCCCAGCATGGCTGTCTCCTACCAGGACGTGCCCGCCTCGTCCATCGACCCTGCCAGCCTGGACGAGTTCGACCAATGCGAGGCCGACAGGTGGCACCTGCCGCCATCCACGTCCACGTCATCCCTGGAGGACAGTGATGGCATGCCCACTGCCACATCTCGCGCGCTCTCCCGCCACGGCAGCAGGCGGCCTCCCGCCCCCCCTCCTCTCTCCCCCTCCGCCACCCCCTCCTCCTCGGCCCTCCACACCATCATCTCGTCTGACGACTCGGCCCTCCCCTCCGACGCCCTCTCCCCGCTGCTGCCACCCGCCACTGCACCCCGCCCCGCACAGCAAGACCTCACCTTCCCTTCCGAGCACAAGGGGGCGGACAGCAAGGGGGAGGGGGAGGGGGAGGGGGAGAGGGAGAGGGGGCTGAAGGGGGATGGGGGGGAGGAGGGGGAGGGGGTGCTGGGCGCGGAGCACATTGTGTTTGTGCGCGTGGTGCAGGCGCGCTCGCTGCTGGGCATGGACCTCAACGCCTCCAGCGACCCTGTGAGTTGCAGTTGTGTGCTTCGACTCGCGCTGATATACCTGCCGTGCTGATATAGCACGTTAGTGCTTGCAGGGGTCGGGTTAGTGGTTCACTCAACTCGCCATCGTCTGTGTCCCCCCCCCATGCTTACCCCACCCGCCGTTCCGTGTTGCTTGTTGTGTGTCTGGCAGTTCGTGGTGGTGACGGTGGGGAAGGTCACGGCGCGCACGCGCACCGTACCGGATGACGTCAACCCCAAGTGGAACCAGGTCGGCCCACTCTGCTCTCAGTCCCACTTTGCTTCCCCCCTCTCTTTCTCCTCTCTCCTGCCTCTCCCTCGTCCCTCTTCACATGGGTTACGTGCTTCTTCTTTCACCTCATACTTCTCACGTGCCGCGCTCCCCTCTGCCCTCCCCCCCACCCCAGGTGTTTGCAATTGGCCCGTCTCCCAGTTCGTTCTCGCTGGCTGACCCCTCCAGCACGCTTGAGATAGTGATAAAAAACGAGGTGCGCATGGGGGAAGAACAAGGTGCGCATGGGGGAGCGAAGTAGATTCACACCTGTTGCATCGCCGCTAGCGCTCCCGCACTTCCAACACACGGCCGTGCGATTATGTTATGTTATGCGTCGCATCGCATCACACCCAATTCAAGCCTTCATGTGCCATCCTCCAACCCTTCTCCAACCCTCCTCCAACCCTTCTCCAACCCTTCTCCAACCCTTCTCCAACCCTCCTCCAACCCTTCTCCAACCCTTCTCCAACCCTTCTCCAACCCTTCTCCAACCCTCCTCCAACCCTTCTCCAACCCTCCTCCAACCCTTCTCCAACCCTCCTCCTCCAACACTCCTTCTCCAACCCTTCTCTTCGCCCTCTCCTTTCCCCACCTCCCCTCCCTGTTCCCCCTCCTGTCATCCCAAACCCCCATCTCTCCCTCCCCCCCCCTTCCCCTCAGAACCGGCTGCTGCGGGACTCCTTCCTGGGCGCTGTCTCGCTGCCCATCGCCTCTCTGCCGCGCCGCCTGCCCTCCGCGCCCCCCGTTGACCCGCGCTGGATCCGCCTTGACAACAAGGCTGCCGCCGCCCCTCCCACCGCTGTTCGCAGCGCTGTCAAAGGTAGCTCTGTGCATGCACGTGCTTGGAGTTGGCTGCGCTGGCGTGTTGGCTGTTGTGCTGGTGAATGACCGCCCATGCTGGCTGTTGGAACCCCCCGCGTTGTCTACCCATTCCTCCATGCTCGTTAATCCCCTCCCTCCGTCTCGCCTCACACCCTCGTCCATCCGCCTTTCCCGCTTCTTCCCTCTCGTCGCAACACACTCCCCCCGCCCCGCCCCTCTTATGCCTCTCCTGGCCGCCAGGCGAGGTGCAGGTGGCGGCGTGGATAGGGGAGCGGTCGGACGAGCTGTTTGGCGAGGCGTGGCAGTGGGACGTGAAGGGCGTGCCGCACCACCGCTCGCGCACGTACCCCTCACCACGCCTCTGGTACCTCAGAGTGCACCCCTGCAAGCTCGAGCACTTCACTACTTCCCGCCTCGCACCCAACCTTGTAAGCCACAGGCTGATGCTGCTGTATGGGTCATATCCCATGTGTTGTACTTGCGCTTTCCAATCTCGACCCATGTTTTGTATTTATTGCAATCCGAACCCCTCTTGTCCCCTCACCCATCCCCGCATGCCCTTCTCTTTTATCCTCCATGCCCCCTCTTGCCCGCCAGGTGGTGCGACTACGAGTGCCCTGCGGCATGCAGGTGCAGACAGGCCCCGCCACTCACCGAACTCCGTCACTGCCGCCCGGCGCCAGCAGTGTGGGCGGCGGGGCAAGCAACCGCAGTGAGGGGTGGTGCAGTGATGAGGAGGAAGATGGGGAGGAAGGTGGGGAGGGTGAGGAGGAGGCAAGGGAGGGTGAAGAGGGTAGCGGGAAGGGGAGAAACAGTGTGGCAGGAGGAGCACATGCGGTTGTGGCTGCCAGCGCAGGCAGGCCTGCAGTCACGGGGTCAGGGACAGGTATACCAGGAGGCACAGGAAGTGGTGCGGGCACGGGCGCAAGTGCAAGCCCAGGGTGGATTCCCCCAAGGCAGCGGTTCGGACACAGGCTTCGTGGCACGCTGAATGCCCCCGGCAACACTGGCAGCAAGGCGAGCAGCGGCGATAATCCCTCGAGCAGCATTTCAGCGAGCATCAGCAGCGCCATGGACAATCTCAACAGCACGGTGGGCAGCATCGGCACCACCGTGGGCAACATTGGCACCACCGTGGGCAACATTGGCACCACCGTGGGCAACATCGGCACCACTGTGGGCAGCATCGGCACCACCGTGGGCAACATCGGCACCACCGTGGGAAACATCGGCACCACCGTGGGCAGCATACGCAGCCTCGGGGGCAGCATGCGCATCCCCCCTGTCTTCCAGCTGCGGAAGGGTGCAGATGGGGTGAAGATGGGTGCCGATGGAGTAAAGTTGGGTAAAGAAGGAGTGAAGAGGGGCGTAGATGGGTTGAAGACGGGTCCAGAGCAGGCAGTGGTCGTGGGAGGGGAGGAGGGGGCGGGGGAGGGCGTGTGGGTGTGGGGCGAGGGCGAGGAGCAGGTGCTGGTGCTGGCGGAGCCGCTCAACGGCCATCTGCAAGTGCACATCGTCAACGTCATCTCGCCCACTTCGGTACGTTGATGCCATCCACACGGCCAATTTCTTAGAGCAACACAAGTGAGGAAAGGAGTAGAAATGGATCGTAGTCAGTCTGTTTGACTCTCAGTGCGCTGATGAAGGCCTATTGCTGGCCAAAACGCGTTCGCACGCCACATCCAGGCCTATTGTGTCTGACGTTCTGACTAAGGTTTTTTTCTCTTACCTTTCTCGCAGTTAATCTCAGTTCCAGACCTAAATCTACTCTTAGGAGGCTTGCTGCTGATCGAATCCAACTTTTTCCTGCACGTTGATGCTATCCACAAGGCCACGCACGCTACTCTTTGTCTCCCAACCACCACTTCCCTTCCCTTCCCGCTCTAGCATGTGTTGCCTTACTCACCACACCCCTCCACACCCCTCCGTTCTCCAGGAGGAGGTGGTGGCATCAGCAGCCGTGCTCATCTCCTCCATCCCCACTCGCCTCTCCCTCGACCCCCTCGAACCCATCTCCATCGCGCTCCAACCCACCACCACTGCTTCTCTCAACGTTGCAGTGCGCTCGCCCTCTGCTGAGCCTCTCATCTCTCACTCCTCCAAACCCAACTCCTCCCCCTCCCGGCCCACCTCCTCCCCTAAACCATCCTCAACCCCCTCTCTCTTCTCCTCCCTCTCCACCTCCTCCCCCGCCCTCGCCTCCACCCCCTCCTCGTCCTCCCCCGCCCCCCTCCTCTCCCTCCTTCTCGCTCTAGAGGGCGGCCACCACGTCATCACCGAGGCCCCCCGCCTCCTCTCCTCCCCGCTCCCCGCCGCCCGCTCGCTCACTCCGCCGCCCATCGCACGCCTAGAGGTCGGCATCATCTCGGCAAAGAACCTGCAGCGGGCAGTGGGCGGGGCGGCGGGGATGGACGTGTATGCGGTGGCGCGGTACGGGGGCATGTGGGCGCGCACGCGCACGGTGAGCGCGGAGAGCAGCCCCGTGTGGCGCGAGCAGTTCAGCTGGCCGGTGTACGAGCTCTGCACCGTGCTCACCATTGCTGTCTTCGAGAACAAGTGAGTCAGCGCGGTTGAGGTTGTCACATGCTGTGCTTTCCAGCCCTTTAAGCCATTAAGCGTTAGGGTGGGTTGCAGCGAAGAGGAAAAACTTTAGCAAAAAGAGTGACAGTAGATAAATTCATACCCCTGTTAAAAACCGAGAATTTGAAGTTCCGAACTCAACTCCACTAGAAGATTAAAACGCAAACTAGTTTCGGCTGACTGGGACTGGCCCCAAATCAGACCTTCATCAGTGCTGGTGGAATTATAAAAGTGAGTTTACAAGCGAGCTCTTAAACAGAAACTGCGCTACGAGAACAACAACTTCAAGGTTGGAACAACCGCGACTGAAATCTGATCAGCCAATCCAAAACACCCTGGAAAGTTCCAAGGTGCCAGGTCTTCATTCCTCGGGATGTGTCGTGGGTAACCCACATCTCGTCAGCTGGTGCTCAGGGAGCCTTGCGCGAACAAGTAACTTTTGCAAGTTACGCCCAGTCTTCCATGCGACAAAAATTCTCTCAGTGTATAATCCGTGTGTAATGAGTCGATTTTTTAGTCGACTCAAAAATCGACTCATTACACACTTCGAGAACAAGTGAGTCAGCGCGGTTGAGGTTGTCACATGCTGTGCTCTCCAGCTCTTTTCCTCTCTGCTGTTTCCCTATCATCCCTGCACTCTCCTCGCTCTCTCTCCCCCCTCTCCCGCGCAACCTCTCCTCCACCCATGGCCAGGCATGCCAAGGGCGTGACGACATCCACTGACACGCCCCTGGGTCGCATTCGCATCCGCCTGAGCTCCATGGACTCTACGTGCGCCATCTCCTCGCAGCAGCCGCTGCTCACCCTCACCAAGAAGGGAGTCAAGCAGTTGGGCCACCTGGACCTCGCCTTGCGCCTCTCCCCCGCGCCCGCCACCTCCCTCCCCCGCCTGGCCGCCACCTACATCCGCCCCTTGCTGCCCCCCGCGCACTACCACTTCCCCATCCCCGAATCCCAGGCGCCCCTTCTCCTGCAAGAAGCGGTGGGGCTGGTGTGCGCGCAGCTGGGCGCGTTCGACCCACCTCTACGCGCCGAAGTGGTGCAGTACGTGGGGGAGAGCGACGAGGACGTGCTGTCGGTGCGGCGCCTTAAAGCCAACCTGCAGCGCATCAAGCTGCTCAGGAGCAGATTCTCCGCCCTCTCTGCCGGTTTCAAGGCCATCAAATCCTGGGAGAGCCTTCCTCTCACCCTTTCCGCCCACCTCGCCTACGCTCTCGCCCTCTTCTATCCGCAGTTTATCCTTCCCACCCTCCTCTTCCTCCTCTCTTGGCAGCTGCTCTCCTGCTCCCCCTCTCGCCCCCTCGGCCCCCCCCTCATGGACCTGAGGCTCTCGCAGGGGGAGGGCAGGGAGGGCAGGGAGGGCAGGGAGGGCAGGGAGGGCAGGGAGGGCAGGGAGGGCAGGGAGGGCAGGGAGGGCAGGGAGGGCAGGGAGGGCAGGGAGTTCAGGGAGGGCAGGGAGGGCAGGGAGGGCAGGGAGGGCAGAGAGGGCAGGGAGGGCAGGGAGGGCAGAGAGGGCAGGGAGGGCAGGGAGGGCAGAGAGGGCAGGGAGGGCAGGGAGGGCGGGGAGGGCGGGGAGGGCAGGGATGGGGGTACGGAGAAAGGTGGGGAGGAGGGGGAGGAGGGGGAGGAGGAGGAAGAGGAGCAGGAGAAGGATGTCTCTGTGTCGAACCCGGTTGCATATTACAAGGTACGAAGGGTGGCTGAGATGCTGTGGGGTGAAGTCGTAAGATATTTCCCCCCTACTCGCATCCCCCTCATAATTTCGACTCTCTGCTTACTGCACTGCAATCTTCCTCCTCTCTCACCCTCCTCCCCTCTCCTCTTTACCCCTTCCCCTCTCCCTCCCTCCCTCCTTCCCCTCCACTCACTGCAGTCGCTCAGGGCAAAGTACGATCGGCTCATGGAAGGTGCCGGGAAGGTGCAGAGAGGCCTTGGGGTGATTGCTGACTCAGCAGAGAAGTTGGAGATGCTGCTGACATGGCGAGATCCAAGGTACGGCTCAACCATAACTTCCTCCATCATCCCTTCCTTCCCATGTAACGACAAAAACTCACGTCGTGTGTCTTGCCCTTGCTGGATGTCTTACCACAACGTTCTGCACTTTCTCCCACCCATCCACCACCCCCCACCTCCCTTCCCTCCCCACAGAGCCACATTCCTGCTCATGGCGGCATGCACGGGCCTCATGCTCCTCCTCCTGCTGCTGCCCTTCCGCCCTGTGGCACTGGCCGCGGGCTTCTGGGCGCTCAGACACCCGCGGCTGCGCCGCATCACGCCCACCAAGGTCAAGTGCTTCCTCGCGCGCCTGCCCACGCGCGCTGACACCATTTACTGAGTGAGTGGGGCGGAGAAGTGTTTATAACCGTCTGGCTGTTCAGCCTGCTGCAAGTGTGGTATTCCAGGGGGGCATTCACGGCTTCCATTGCACATATTTATGGCAAGCCCTGCAGTGCAGCAAGCTGGGAGGGCAGCATGTTCCACCTGAAAGTTCCATAGCCTCTATCCACTGAAACACACCTTCTCTCAGTGTGCATAAACGTATGTACGTGTATAGCGTGCACTCCATGTCTCTCCGGACTCGTTTCTTACTACCTTCCTATCAGCCTCACAGCATACGGCCGAGAGAAGAAAGACATCACTTCCATTTCACACCCGCTTTCACTCAGCCGCCAATCCTCGCCGTGGGATCACTGCCTGTGGTTTTCCTCCCCACCTGCCCCACATGCTCCTTGCCGGCAGCAGCCATGCCAGCAACACCCACACCACCCACGCCCGGCCCCTCCTTCCCCGGCAGCGCGCACTCCTTGAGCTCTGTCTCGAGCCCCATCCCCCTTTTGATCTGCTCTGCTAGCTGGTCCACAGCCCGCTCAGGCCCCTTGAGGTCGGCGCGCATCTTGCGCCGCTCCTCCATCTGCACCCCGTACCGCTGCTCCACTGCTGTGGGCGGGGGGGGGGGGGGGGAGGCGGGGAGGTGGGGGAGGGCGGAGAGAGTGGAAGGCAGAGCGTGTGTGAGAGGGAGTGGAATGAGGGGTGTTGGACTTGGTTGGTTGGAAGGGAAGGGTAAGTGGACGGCAGCACCTGTGCAAAATAAGCACAGGCTTCCAAAGAAAAGAATCGACAGCACCCCACCTCGAGGCAGTTCGGGTTTGAGCTGGCCGTCTGCGAAGAAGGCCCCCATGAGCTGTGGCACGCCCAGGGGCAGCGCGTCCCCGCGGTCAAACTGCCAGAAGTGCCATGTCTTGCCAAACGTCTTCACCAGCTTCGCCATAATCGGCTGCTCCGCAATAGCTGGCAGGCCCGGCATGAACAGTAATCCGCTCTTGACCTCGTACTCGTGCGCGTGCCACATGCGCTGCTCGGCCTCCGGCAGGGTGAGGAACACCTCCTCTGAGACGATGAACTCCACGCCGATGAGGCGCGCGGAGGGCTGGTCGGAATCGTAGACGAGGCACTGGTGCACGTCCTCGTTCACATGCGAGCAGTAGTGGTGCGCCTCCACCTGCCGCGACATGTCGCTGGCGTAGTAGTGGAACCTGGGGGAGGGGGGGGAGAGAAGGGGTGAAAGTGCATGAGGGGGGTATTTGCGCTGGGAGCAAAGGTCATCCCAGATCCGGGCAAGAAAGCTGACAGGTCCATTAGGAACAACCTGTCAGCACAACGCTTAAGGGAATATTGATGGTCAGTTTGCTTTGTTGGAGAATCCAGGGAAGAGTGGCGAGGGAAGCGGCAAGTAAGGGAGCAGCGAGGCGAGGCTACTGACGCGCAGAGGTGTTGGCCGATCTGCCGGATGGGGCGGAACTGCTGCACCGTGGACGCGCCCGTCTCCATCACCCGAGTCGTCATCGTCTTCGCCTCGCCCGGCACATCCGACAATCCCGAGGCTGCTGTGCCACCTGTGGACAAGGGCTTGTCAGACGCCATGACTTGAAATGATCTGCGAAAACGGCAAAGGAAGAGTCGATAAGCGTTGACGTATGCGAAGCTCAGTCACGCGATGAAGGCCTCCTAGAATACTCTTTAAACCAGGTCGAAAGCAAGAACCGGATCGCGTGGCAAGCGCTGTTCTGCGGCTTGGCTCTGCAGCTGCTTCAGCAAGCGCGGAACCCGCAGTGGCTTGCATGCCGGCGATGTGGTGTGCACGTGGTAGAGGGTGGGGGTTTGGGTGGAGGTGGGGAAATGTGGGAGTTAGCGAGCCCAAAATGTCAGCGTGCAATTTCTTGAATGTGTCGAGTCCAAAATTTGCGGTGCGGTTTTGGGAACACTGTAGCTGGTCTCGCTGGTTAGGTTCATATGCCACGTGTTGCTGATGCGGACATTCGGAGAAACTCGCCGCAACACGCGACCTCTATACATGCGAACTCATATAACCTCGACCTAGTTTGCGCAGTTGGGTACTTCGTAGCAAGCAACATTTTTAAGGGAGAAGAGCCTCATTCTACCAGTACATCACCCATCCTTTCAAGCAAGTTTGCTTTTAAATCATATGCATATTGTTGGAAATATCTCAAAGGACTTAAGCGTTTCTGAAGTGTAACACTACACTCGAGGAAGATCACAACGGGTACGCGAGTCAACGGAGGTTACACGAGGGGGCGAACAAAGAACGCGAAGGGACTCGAAGGGTCGCAACTGGAGGTTGCGACTGACCGTTACAACAGCGCGGATGGTAACCGAAGCGACAATCGAGTCGCTGTGCGACTCGATAACCGCTCCTGCAACTGTATTCTACAACTGTTTTCTTATTTTCTATATATTGCTGTATGCTTGTTTCTTTAATCAATCACTTGTTCTCATATACTAGTACAAGGGTTCAACTACTCAACTTCCGCTGCACTATTCAAGTTTCATTCTTCAACTGGGACTTAGTCTCTGAAAAGATCCTAAGGGCTTTTCTCAGCCCAACATGGTATGAGAGCTGGTCAGAGACCAAACTCCCAGCAACGACACTCTATCTACAATCTGCAATTCAACGACTTCATTGATTACAAATCATGGACAACAAGGGCAAGAAAATCTCTACGGGCTCACCCAGCGCCCAAGACATTCAACCCGGCAACTCTGGATTGCATACTTCAGGACTGCAAACCGAGACCGGCGCTGCTCAAGAAACAACAGAAAGAACACCGGAAATGGCGACCCCATCACCCTCTTCAAGCGTGGATCCGAACCTTATGGAAATGTTCTTCAGCTTCATGTCGCACTTCGAACAGCAGCAGACAAGGACGCCTGCGCATTCGACACAAAGCAACGGAGGGAACATGGGATTAGCACCGATGAGCCTCGACAACTCATCGTTCGGGCGACACAATCAAGCGCCTACCTTTGCGCCTTATCACTCTTCACCGGGGACGTTCGAGTTCATGTCGCCCCGTGCCCAACCAACAGCAGCTGCATCACAACAAACACCAAACGAGATTTTAAGTCTCCAGGCGCAGTTTTCACACGTGATTAAACTGCAGACATCATCACCATTCAACGGACACGATTTCTTTACCTGGAGCTTTGAGTTCGAGCTGCTGATGGAGGCTGCGCATCTCCTGGGATACTTCAATGGGTCCCTGCCATTCCCAAGCAACGGCACTGCAAAGGAGCAAGAAATATTTACATATCAATCGCTGCTGGCGTACACAGTTCTCCTGCGGAACCTGTCACCACAAGAACAGCAGAGCATCAGAACATATCGGAGCTATGGAAACTCCGCGGAACTCGCATGGCATCATCTCAAGTGTCTCTATCAAGCAAACGACAGCGTGACACAAAGCAGACTCATGCAACAACTGACAACAATACAGATGAAGACAGGAGAAAAGGCGATGCAGTATATGAGTCGCTGCCAGACCCTCCGCGACCGCCTGCTTCGGTGCGGAGGAACAATCACTGAAGAAAGATTCGTGACGCTTGTCCTCGCCGGGCTCGGGCCAGAATGGAGAACCACACGCTCGCTTCTTCGCGCCCACGGAAGGATCTCGGAGATGCACCTCTGCGCCGAGCTTCATGCTGAACAGCAGGAGATGGACCTGTTCGAAGAAAGACAACCAAGAAAGCAGCAGCAGTTAGTTTTCTACACTCAACGAAGGAACGACAACAACAACAATCGACGTGGCAAGCAAGATCAACGCGACAACAGAGGACTCACCATCGTGCCGCCGTTCTGCCAACTGTCAAACATCCGGACATTCCAAAGTCAACTGCACACGTCCTCGTGTCTATCGCCCAGTAGACCCACAAGTCGCCTCCACTCAAGAAAGCCCTCCAAGGCGTTCTTCCAGATCTGCACAAGGGACACCAAACATCATCAACTGTATGGTACACATCGACAACTGCGCACCAAGATCACCACCCACCTACGCGCCAGACGAAGAAGAACTTCCGCCGCCGCGCTCACAAGGACTTGAGGTCAACCCGACATACGCTGCGGTCGCCAACGCTGAACCCACCGGGCGAAACACCTGGTTCTTGGACAGCTGCTGCGGTCAACACATGTGTTCTTCCGGACGCTTCGTGCAACGAGAGCGACGCCTCACCCGCGACGTCATCATCACCGTCGCCAACAACGAAAACCTGAAAACAAATAGACAAGGAGTGGTTCAGTTACAATCCATGGAGACAAATGTTATACTTCAACTCAACAAAGTCCTCATCGTCGACAACTTGGGATACAACTTACTAAGCGTCAGCCAGCTGATGGCAAAAGGGATTCACATGGAGTGCGACTCCTACTCCAACGAGTTTCGCCTTTACCATGGGAAGGGCGGTCTCTTCATCGGTCGTGCTCTCCTGAAGTCCGGCGTCTTCGTGTTGGACTTCGTCCCCGACCGCGGTACTGCCGACAGCGACGGAATCGTGTCGTTCGCCGCCTGGACACACCCGCCGGATCTTGACCCCGACTTCGACCCTGATGGGTTCTGGCACTCCAACACCATACCTGCAGCAGAAAGAACACGAGCATTAGCAGTCATCAGACAAGAAAGACAAGTACCAGCAAGTGTCCCTTCCCAACCATCACCTACAGTAGCAGCAGCAGGACCCAGCCGAGTACCACCACCAGCGATCCGACGACCGCCAACCGAAGCAGATCAACTTATGCCCATCACACGAGAAGTTTGTCGAAGTCCCGCCACGGTCGTCGCGTTCTTCTCCAACACCGACATGTACCAACGCTCGCCCGGCCATCGAGCTTCCGACGACATCTGGCACCAACGCCTTGGGCATCCTGCGAACAGCACCGTACTACAAACAATCCAAGCCGAAGTACTAGAACGAAACACCCTTCTTACAACAAGCGGCCAAGAACTTCGAAGACCTCGCGCACGGTGCTTCACGTGCCCCAAAGCAGATCTTCCCCATCAACCCTTCACATCACATCACAATCCAAGTGCGCCTGCATATGCACCGATGGAAAAGGTTTACAGCGACATCTTAAACATGCCTCGAGACGACACGGAGGCCGACTTCAACTATGTCATCACTTTTATCGATGCATCAACAAGATATGTTTGGCACTACAACCTCAAGACGCGCGATCAAGCCTTTGACGCCTTCACGACATGGCTCCCCATCGCCGAACGAGAATCAGGAACCAAACTCAAGAGCTTCCAGTCAGACGGTGCACTGGAATACCAGTCACAACGCTTCAGGACCTATCTTGCGGAAAGAGGAATCAGACGCCTGGTGTCTCTACCCTACGCTCACCAGCAACAGGGGGTCGCAGAAAGAATGAACCGGACCTTGCAGACGACGATGCGGAAGCTACTTCTGGGGATGAGACTGCCCAACGAACTGTGGCCAGACGCGATGACCCATGCAGTCCACCTGCACAATTTGCTATCCTCGTCATCGCTCCCCAACAACGCATCACCGCACCTGCTGTGGACACGAAAAAGGGGCAGCACAAAATTACTTCGAGTTTTCGGCTGCATGGTACAGTACAGACCCCACACAACCAGAGCAGGACGTTTCACCCAACGAGCACGATGGGGGCTACACCTCAGCATCGCACAACATTTTCACGCATGGAAAATCCTCGACATACAAGACAAAACTACCGTGGCATCACGTGATGTTATCTTCTACGAGCGACTGACGCTGCAGCATTACCTGGACAACATTGCCAACACACATGACCCCACCGACGGCTTCGCGGGCCTTCGTTCCTTCGCCGACCATGCTGCCGAGGCTGACGCAGCAGAAGAAAACGTACCTGGAGCCTCGGAAGCTGCCGGACCACTCCCTTTCTGCTCCGTACCTGTTCTACTCGATGAAGACAATCCCCTCGATAGCAACAACCTCGACACCTTTTACCACTTCGCCGACCAAGGTTACATTACACCCCACCCCGTCGACACGAATGTCTCAGAACGCATCGGCCCAAACTTCTTACCTGATCCAGAAGACGGTGACGAAGCAGCCTATTCCGGGAATGAAAATTCCCCTCGACACACACCCATGGGCCTGCAGATACTTGGATTATGGGTCTCCGTCCAGCACCCGCCACCGCCATCTCCGAGCGAGCCCTCGACTCTGTCGCAGGCTGTGGGGGGGGAACATAAGGCGAAATGGAAGGAGGCGATGGAAAAGGAGTTAAAGGCTCTGCAAGACCGAAATACATGGAAGCTGGTACCTGCAACAAGCATGAACGGGAAGAACGTCCTCTCGGGAAAATGGGTGTACCGCATCAAAACCAATGCGGACGGTTCCACCGAACGATTCAAAGCTCGATGGGTCGTACGAGGGTTCGATCAACGATACGGAACCGACTACACAGAAACATTTGCCCCAGTCTCCCGTCACACCTCATTGCGCATCCTACTCGCCGTCGCGGCCACGAAAAAACTACCACTGCGCCAAATCGACGTCGCAAATGCCTTCCTGTACGCACCTGTGGACGCCGAGATCTTCGTCGAGCAACCCCACGGATTCATCGACGACCCCACGAAAGTATGCCAACTGATAAAATCCCTATACGGGATTAAGCAAGCCCCTCGACTCTCGCAGCAGCATCTTCACGGTCGCCTCGTAAAAATCGGATTCCTACAGCTGCCGCATGATCAAGGCATGTACCGACTGCAACAAGGAAGAGAATATATCCTACTCATCGTTTACGTCGACGACCTGCTCTACATCAGTTCCACTACCAACATCGCCACCTGGTTCGAAGGGGAGCTGAAAGAGGACCTGACACTCACGGTGTCCGACACAGTGACCCAGTACCTGGGACTGAATGTCGTCGAAGACAACTCGGCGCTCTACCTACACGCTGGAAAGTACGCAGGCACTGTCGCGAAGAAATTCGGTCTAACGCCGACTACGGTCCCGACTCCCTACCGCTACGGGAACAACAACAGCACCTCCGCAAAACTCCCCGCGAAGCAAATCCAGGAGTATCAATAGAAGCTCGGCTGCCTACTATTCGCAGCAGTAACCTGCCGACCCGATCTCTCTTACAGCGCGAGCCAACTGGCGACGCATCTGAAGCAGCCGGAACAAGAAGATCTCGAGGAACTTAATCGGGCACTACACTACTTCGTCTCCACGCCGACCACCGGGCTCACCTACAGCAAAGTAACGACACCGTCCGTACGACTACTCGGATACGTCGACGCCAACCACGCGGGAGACAGGGAAAACCGACGATCGAGAACGGGCTACATCTACCGACTAGAACCTATCGGGACTATCTCCTGGCAGTCGAGCAAGCAGGAACTAATCGCACTATCTTCGGCTGAAGCAGAATATATCGCCCTTTGTACTGCGACCAAGGAAGGACTCTACCTACGAGAGCTGCTCGAGGAAGCAAAGATCGCGACCCTGCCCGTCTTCTCACTCCTCTGCGACAACCAATCTGCGATAAAAATTGCGAACAAGGACGGCTTCGCCAACCGAACCAAACACATTGCCCTGCGGTACTTTTTCGTCAAAGATGAAATCGCGAAGGGGAGACTTCAACTCAGTTACTGCCCTACAACAGAAATGGCCGCAGACTACTTGACGAAGAAACTGTTAAAATTATATAAGTTATAATTTAATATAGGCTTGGTAGGTTGTTACTGAACCTTTCTGTAGAGGGTACAAACCCCTCCTTGTACTCCCCTCTCTTCCTAATCCAACCACCTTTCTTCTCGACATTCTCTCCCTTCCTAGATCAGTTTTCCTCACGCCATTCCATGGCGGCCTTCTTCCTAGTATTCTAGCCAACCTAGCCTCCTAAGTTTAAGAACCTTGAGTCCTAAGTTTCTAAGATGGTATCAGAGCCGGTCGTGTCCACCGGACCCTCTCCCTACGTTCCCGTTGCGTACTCCTACTGCATTCGCAGCCTTCACGGTTTTCTGCCTGCCTGCCGTCGCGGCACTAAGTTGTCGCGACGGCCCCTTGTTGCCTGCCGTCGCGGCGCCAGGATGTCGCGACGGCCCCTTGTTGCCTGCCGTCGCGGCACCAAGATGTCGCGACGGTCCCTCGTTGCCTACCGTCGCGGCGCCAAGGTGTCGCGACGGCCCCTTGGTGCAGCCGTCGCCCGTCCGCCTCGTCGCTGCGACATCGACGGTGCGCTGTGGCGGCGTCTGCGGCAGCCGACGGCATCGTCGGGCTGCGGCCGGCCGAGCGACGTCTGTGGCGTCGCCGGGCCTGCCGCCCGCTCGCCACAGACGGGCGTCCCTCAGGACGACGTCCTCCCGCCAGTAAGCGCCGCGCCATTTATGGCGCGTCGCTGAAGACTCGCCTCGCCCCGCCCCCTCCCCCCCCCCCCCCACCTGCACCTGCTTCCCCTGCATCCCCCCCTTTCTTGCTGCAGCCGATGACTGCCATGTGAGGGACCTCTCCACCGCCGAGGAGACAGGACATGCCGCCGAGAGGGCGGGGGCCGCCGCACCAGCCTCTGTCGTTCGAGCCGCCGGTGCCGCCGCTGTTGCCGCAGGCCTGGAGCCGCCGCACACCGCCGCCGCCGCCGTCGTTACTGTCGCTGCTGCCGCCATTGCCGTCTCAAGGGGCCGTGAGACCTACCCTCTTCCGGAGTCGTTGCGGCTCCTGCTGGGAATGGGGGTGCTGGGCTAGGGGGTGTGGGTGTGGGTGTGGGTGTGGGGGTGTGCGTGGGCTTGATACTACCAAGCCTAGGGGGTGTGTTAAAATTATATAAGTTATAATTTAATATAGGCTTGGTAGGTTGTTACTGAACCTTTCTGTAGGGGGTACAAACCCCTCCTTGTACTCCCCTCTCTTCCTAATCCAACCACCTTTCTTCTCGACATTCTCTCCCTTCCTAGATCCGTTTTCCTCACGCCATTCCATGGCGGCCTTCTTCCTAGTATTCTAGCCAACCTAGCCTCCTAAGTTTAAGAACCTTGAGTCCTAAGTTTCTAAGAGAAACTGGCGAAGGCGAAGTTCGATTACTGCATGCTGCTGACCGGGCAGACAAACGTCACCGGATCTGAACACGTCAGCACTCCAGAAACGAAGGGGAGTGTTGGAAATATCTCAAAGGACTTAAGCGTTTCTGAAGTGTAATACTACACTCGAGGAAGATCACAACGGGTACGCGAGTCAACGGAGGTTACACGAGGGGGCGAACAAAGAACGCGAAGGGATTCGAAGGGTCGCAACTGGAGGTTGCGACTGACCGTTACAACAGCGCGGATGGTAACCGAAGCGACAATCGAGTCGCTGTGCGACTCGATAACCGCTCCTGCAACTGTATTCTGCAACTGCTTTCTTATTTTCTATATATTGCTGTATGCTTGTTTCTTTAATCAATCACTTGTTCTCATATACTAGTACAAGGGTTCAACTACTCAACTTCCGCTGCACTACTCAAGTTTCATTCTTCAACTGGGACTTAGTCTCTGAAAAGATCCTAAGGGCTTTTCTCAGCCCAACACATATGATATGTGAATGAGATGTATACAAAATGAAATTTTAATACAAGGTGGGATTGGCGTTGGATGAAACAATCGCATAAAGGATATGCTATCTGCAACCACTTGAGTCTCCCAGCAAAATCCCATAATCTGATTTTGAATCTGCCGCACAGCCAACCTTGGGTTGTAGCGCATGACTTGCATTTGCTCCAGCTCCCAACCTCTCCGCTGACAGCACCCCTTGGGCAAACAGACCATCACTTGGCAGTGAGCCAACCATGACAGGCGGCGACTGCCCCTCACATGCAGAGAGTGGAGCATCACGTGCAGTTGCTTGCAGCAGCCCCTGCGGCTCCACTGGGCTCTCAACCGGCACCACTTTGCTGCTGCCCTTCTCCCTCTGCCCCTTCCCCAGCAGCAGCCCGTTCTCACTGTCAGCCATGGTCCCATTCTCCCCTTCCACACCACCAACCCCACCATCCACCTTCCCATACCCTCCCTTCGTTGCCGCCCCATCAAAGCCCTCCTCACCCTCTTTTCCCTCCTCCTCCTCCATAAGGGCCACGTCCGGCAGGCCCGGGTCCTGCGTGAACTTGAGCACGCCGTGGTGCTTCGCCCACATCAGGAGGGGATACAGCAGCAGCCCCACGGACGCCATTATGGAGCTGCAAGGAGGAAGGGGGAGAATAATGACGGAAAGCAGGGGCAAGAAGGCAGTGGGTGAGTTGCTGGGACCTAACCAAAGGGAGTGAGATTAAGATGAGCTTGAAGCAGTGCGAGAAGCTTGTGCCAGGGAGGAATGGGGTGGCACCTGGGAGCCATAAACGTGCAGCTGAGCATGGCGACTGTGCACCTCTCAACGGGCAACTCCTCACCTGGCAATGACGGTCTGCCGGGAGGCGAGGGCCATGACGAGGATGAGCAGCAGGGAGGGCGGCAGGCACAGCAGCGCAGCCCCCATGGTGTCCACCGGGATCCTGAGGATTGACGCACAGCAGGTACGTGGTACCACGGGGGCATGGATAGAATGTGGATGAAGAAGAGGGAACATTCATCGTCATTGGAATGTGCATCAGCTGCTGCATCAATTGCCGGCCACATTCCGATGGAAAAAGCGGACAGAAAGCTTGTCAGCCCAGCTTGATTGAAGCAATGCGATCGGGACCACTGATGCGTACCTGTAGGGCCGATTCAGCTCGGGCTGCGTGACTCGCAGCGCAATGAAGGCGGCAAACTCGAGCAGCATGCCGAAGCAGTAGAGGAAGTTGAGGAACTCGACGATCTGCTGGAAGCTCATCCACGACAGCAGCACGATGCCTGTGGCGCTGCACACGATGCCCAGCACGGGCGTGCCGTGCCGCGACCGGTACGTGAACACCTCCGGCAGCATCCCCCGCTCCGCCATGCCCAGCAGCTGGAACGCGTCGCTGTGCCCGCGAGGGGAGGTGGGGGATAGGGGGGTTGGGAGGTGGGAAATGGAAGAGTGTTGGTGCATCAGCATGGAAGTGTGAGGGGAGAGTGGTGTGCACGTTGAGGGGAGTGGCTGGGGAAACAAAGAACGGAATGTTGGTGGTGCTGGGATGATGCAGTGGCCTCAAGCCACAGCGAGACACCCACACATTTGCGCACCTGCTCATCTCGGCCTCAAACGCGCCCATGTTGGAGAGCGCCGCAGCGCACGCGATCCACCACGCCAACCACCCGCCGCCAATAGCGCGGCCCACCACGGCGAGGTACCCATCATCCCACCCCTCAGGCGAGAAGGGCATGGCGCCCGTGCCCGCCAGCAGCGGCACGAGGTAGCTGACCACGACCAGCACCACCGCCCCCATGAGCGCCCGCGGGAACGTGCGCTTGGGCTCCTCTATCTCCCCCGCAAGCGTGCTGGCAGGGGGGCGGGGGGGGGGGAGAGACATGCATGGCAGTTACAGGGAGAAAGGCACATGATCAGGAGAAAAAAAAGGCGACAAATTGGAATGGGAAGGTGAACTTTACAGAAATGCGGAGGAAAAGAACTGTGACGGCTTTCAGGCGTGCATGTTTGATGGTGGGCTGGGCGCACCTGACGGAGTGCCAGCAGTGGGGCGCACCTGACGGAGTGCCAGCAGTGGGGCGCACCTGACAGAGTCCCAGTAGTTGAGGTTCCAGAAGAGCGTGTTGAAGTAGCCCCGCCAGTGCACGCGGTTCAGATCCACCACCAACCTGCCATGCCATGCCGCCACGTGCCATACCACCACATGCCATGCCATACCACCACATGCCATGCCAACACATGCCATGCCACGCAACAGCATAACTGGAGATTCAACGCCAGCTGGAAAATGCTTGTGGGAAGGCTTATACGTGAGGCACGTTGAGAATGTGAGGAATGGCACCCGCGGCCCATTGTGATGCATTGATGCATGAACAGATGAACCGCGGGGCACTGACCAGCGCGCGGTTGGATCTTGGGGATGGCGAGCAGCGCCATCACCACGAAGGGCAGCAGCCCGAAGACTGCCAGCGCGATGGCCGCCGCGCCCACTATGGTCAGACCCCTGTAGTTGATGTACGTTAGCAGCTGGCGGTTGGGTGGGGCGCATAGCAGGGGAAGGGTTGAAGCCAGCTTTAGTGTCGGTGTGTCGGCAGGAAGAGAGAGGGATGCCAAAGTGAGAGAGAAATGGATGGTAGAGAGACATGAGAGGAAAGAAATGGATGGTAGAGAGACATGAGAGGAAAGAAATGGATGGTAGAGAGACATGAGAGGAAAGAAATGGATGGTAGAGAGACATGAGAGGAAAAAAAAAAAAGAAAGAAATGGATGGTAGAGAGAACATGAGAGGAAAGAAATGGATGGTAGAGAGACATGAGAGGAAAGAAATGGATGGTAGAGAGACATAGAAAAAGAAATGATGTAGAGAGACATAGAGGAAAAATGGATGGTAGAGAGACATGAGAGGAAAGAAATGGATGGTAGAGAGACATGAGAGGAAAGAAATGGATGGTAGAGAGACATGAGAGGAAAGAAATGGATGGTAGAGAGACATTGGAGAGGGAAAGAAATGGATGGTAGAGAGACATGAGAGGAAAGAAATGGATGGTAGAGAGACATGAGAGGGAAAGAAAAGAAATGGGAATGGTAGAAAGAGACATCAGAAGGGAAAGAATAGTGGATGGTAGAGAGACATGAGAGGAAAGAAAAAAAAAAAAGAAAGAAATGGATGGTAGAGAGACATGCAGAGGAAAGAAATGGATGGTAGAGAGACATGAGAGGAAAGAAATGGATGGTAGAGAGACATAGAGGAGAAATGGATGGTAGAGAGACATGAGAGGAAAGAAATGGATGGTAGAGAGACATGAGAGAGGATAAGAGAAATGAGGATGATGGTAGAGAGACATGAGAGGAAAGAAATGGATGGTAGAGAGACATGAGAGGAAAGAAATGGATGGTAGAGAGACATGAGAGGAAAGAAATGGATGGTAGAGAGACATGAGAGGAAAGAAAATGGATGGTAGAGGAGAACATGAGAGGAAAGAAAAATGGATGGTAGAGAGACATGAGAGGAAAGAAATGGATGGTAGAGAGACATCAGAGGAAAGAAATGGATGGTAGAGAGACATGAGAGGAAAGAAATGGATGGTAGAGAGACATGAGAGGAAAGAAATGGATGATAGAGAGACATGAGAGGAAAGAAATGGATGGTAGAGAGACATGAGAGGAAAGAAATGGATGGTAGAGAGACATGAGAGGAAAGAAATGGATGGTAGAGAGACATGAGAGGAAAGAAATGGATGGTAGAGAGACATGAGAGGAAAGAAATGGATGGTAGAGAGACATGAGAGGAAAGAAATGGATGGTAGAGAGACATGAGAGGAAAGAAATGGATGGTAGAGAGACATGAGAGGAAAGAAATGGATGGTAGAGAGACATGAGAGGAAAGAAATGGATGGTAGAGAGACATGAGAGGAAAGAAATGGATGGTAGAGAGACATGAGAGGAAAGAAATGGATGGTAGAGAGACATCAGAGGAAAGAAATGGATGGTAGAGAGACATGAGAGGAAAAAATGGATGGTAGAGAGACATGAGAGGAAAGAAATGGATGGTAGAGAGACATGAGAGGAAAGAAATGGATGGTAGAGAGACATGAGAGGAAAGAAATGGATGGTAGAGAGACATGAGAGGAAAGAAATGGATGGTAGAGAGACATGAGAGGAAAGAAATGGATGGTAGAGAGACATGAGAGGAAAGAAATGGATGGTAGAGAGACATCAGAGGAAAGAAATGGATGGTAGAGAGACATGAGAGGAAAGAAATGGATGGTAGAGAGACATGAGAGGAAAGAAATGGATGGTAGAGAGACATGAGAGGAAAGAAATGGATGGTAGAGAGACATGAGAGGAAAGAAATGGATGGTAGAGAGACATGAGAGGAAAGAAATGGATGGTAGAGAGACATGAGAGGAAAGAAATGGATGGTAGAGAGACATGAGAGGAAAGAAATGGATGGTAGAGAGACATGAGAGGAAAGAAATGGATGGTAGAGAGACATGAGAGGAAAGAAATGGATGGTAGAGAGACATGAGAGGAAAGAAATGGATGGTAGAGAGACATGAGAGGAAAGAAATGGATGGTAGAGAGACATGAGAGGAAAGAAATGGATGGTAGAGAGACATGAGAGGAAAGAAATGGATGGTAGAGAGACATGAGAGGAAAGAAATGGATGGTAGAGAGACATGAGAGGAAAGAAATGGATGGTAGAGAGACATGAGAGGAAAGAAATGGATGGTAGAGAGACATGAGAGGAAAGAAATGGATGGTAGAGAGACATCAGAGGAAAGAAATGGATGGTAGAGAGACATGAGAGGAAAGAAATGGATGGTAGAGAGACATGAGAGGAAAGAAATGGATGGTAGAGAGACATGAGAGGAAAGAAATGGATGGTAGAGAGACCATCAGAGGAA